CTCGTATCCTAGAATAACTTATGCTCAATCAAACCTGAAGCACGTCAGTCTATTGTATTCAGAGTCAATGCATTAGAATGTAATTTCACCAGTTCATGAGCCCAAGTAAAATGTTACATCAGCTAGGCTATTAAAGGCAGATTTCTGCCTGTATTCATTTAGTCTCTGCTTCCCAGAGGTCTGGAGCAGTCTGGGCTCAGAGAGAGTGTAAAATCTATGCTGGTTATCTTGCATCATAAAATGAATCCATGGAAAGATTTGCAGTGTGCATCAATACAAGTTATGCCTGGTGAAGTCAAGTTTTCCAGACAGGAAGTTTTTCGAGGGCTGAGAGAATGTCTTGGAGGGTCCTCCATTATCCCTGTTTGCCCCCTAAGAATTCGCCTTTGGCATCTTCTCTTCATATTTTGCTCTCCTTTGTTTTTGCAGCCCTGGTTGGGATCCCGAATATGTTTCTAAAATAGGGAAGGCATAGGTCAGCTCTGAAGGATCACAGCTGTCTTCCACCTGTCCCAAAAATGGTATGGAGCTTTGTGATTTCTCCCAGTCCTTCTGGGGAGGGAAGAAATGCTGATCTATATCGTTTGGGTTTCCAGTCGTGGAGCCAAGTGATCAGTCATGCTACTAGTTTAATTGCAAAGAGATGGCAGAGAGAGACTTACTGCAGAGGCCAGGCAATGGCGCTAAAATGGATAGTGGAAACCAGGGACCACCTGCTACATCTGAGGATCGGAGAGAATGTCTGTGACCAGGCAGAATCTCTCTCATCTGCTTTCAAATCTCAGTTCCTTTTTCCTCTTCGTTTTGTTTAAGCGGAGAAGGGATTTGCATAGATTCCACTCTAGAACACCAGTGCCTGCTAGGCCATTCTCGCTATTGATAATCCTCGGTCAGAACGGCCTTCTTTACACCTTTCTTCTTCCCACTTACGCTTAGTTCTCCTGGTATGTGGGTTACACTGAAGACAGGAATTTGGGCTGACATCTCAACCATTGGAGGACTTACACCCTTCACTTCGATTTCTGCTCAATTGGCCTTTTCTAAAAGTTCCACGGCCCCATTGATTTGGCACGGACGAGTTTAGTGTAGCAGGATTGCAAGATGGGAAAGGGATAGTCCTGGGCAGAATTTTTCACTGAGCGAACAATTGATTTTTTTGGTTCAGTGACTGAATGAAAAAAAAGTCTTTAAAAAAAAAAAAAAAATTTTTTTTTGAGTTATTTTATTTGTTTTTTTTCTTTTCAAAAATGTCTAAACTGTTTTGATTTTTTTTTTTTTAAAAAATGTCATGCTGGATTTGTGAATAGTTTTGGTCCCTCTGAAAGTGCATTTTTCAGTAATTAAACTAATTGATTGAAAAATGCTGCCCAGCTGTCACCATAATGTTTTTGTTTCTTGTTGTTACAATGTAGCGTTTGGAACGAAGCTGGGTGTTGAAGTGCTGCTATTGGGAATATCACCTCTGCTGTATTTTGTATGTGTGGAATCAGTTTAGTACAAGACTTTCCTGCTTTCATGGGCTTTCATTTTACATTTGCTTTTCTAAATGGCTTCCTCTGCTAGCGATTGTTTTTTTGGAAAGGTTTACGTATTTCCCAGCTGCTGTTCCAATTCTCTGTAGCATTCACTGTACCGTAGTTCGTTTGGTACTTACTTATTCTGCGTTCAGTAGGAATTTTTACATCTCAACACAGGAGATGGTCATGCCATCTCGGAAAAGATGGAGCAGAAATAGGAGGCTGAAGACTGGTGATGAAAATTATTAGAGGCATGGAGAGACTTCAGTAACAGTGGAGAAAAAATGGGACTGTTTTAGTGCAGAGAGCAGAAGAATTGGTAGGCAATTGATGGAACACAATGAACGGTGCAGAGAAGGAAAATTGGAGATTCCTTTTTGCCTTCTGATAATACAATAAGGGACATTTGAAGTCAACAAATTGATAAAAAGAGACACTTTCCTTTTACACAATGCCTAGCTTGTAGCCTTGAGTTCCAAAGGTCAGTTATAGTAGAGCCCAAGATCTCACTAGGAGTCAAAGGATTATGAGCCATATACATGTCTGAGGATATCCAGGTACAATAGACAGGATTCAAAATGGGGGAGATTTTCCTTATCTGTCTTTTTTTTTTTTTTTTTTTTCCCTTTCAGATCCTCTGTGCTAGTTCAGAGGCTTATGGTAAATCTCCCAGCCAACAGCTGGGGACTATACAGTGTCATTCCCTGTAGAGGAGGAGTTTGTCAGCCTGATACTTGGAAAGCAGGTCTGTAATAACTTGCTACCTTTTTCCCCTTTAAACTTAAACTGAACCAATGTGCAGAATGAGGCTAGTCTGAATGGGGAGGAGGGTCAAAGTAGGATTCCGGGCACCTCCCACAATGGACTGCAGGATGCTCTTCCGAGCACTGCACTTGCCAAGGTCTGGACTTCCACATTGCTATGTTTGGAAAAGGTACTGCTCCCTCCTCCTGCTGGAGACAGTAACAACTCAGTGAGCCAGCAAATACATCCCTTCTAGCCAGAGGGGATCTCCCATCACTTCCCTGTCTGTTGGCAGGGAAGAATTATAGCCAAGCACATGGAATGGCACAGAGGATCGAAGAGAGAAACTCTTGCTTCAGGGATTATGCCCCAAATACGGGGAATTAGGAGGAAAATTCCCCCATGGTCAGGGGAAATTTGTCCATAATGAGGATGCTGGCAGTTGTCTAAGAAGCATCTGCTACTGCCTCAACCCAATTATTAGACTAGATGGACCACTGGTCTGTTTGCTATGACAGCTGTTCTGCTCCCCATCAGAGCCCCAGTGCATGCTACTGGCACTCCGTGCTGTTGCAAGTTAATGATAGTCCCCCTCTCTTCTCCCTCCATTTCTGTTTTATTACAAGAAAAAAACCAGAGGCCAAGTACTGACTGTTGAGATGTACCGGAGGGGGTGGCACAGATAGGCTCAGTCCTAGCTCCTCGTTAGAAGTGCTTTGTCCTTTGACAATACTCTACCTGGTGCAGACAAAAATGTTCAAGGGGTCCAAATTACAGGGCTCTTCTCTGGGGCCAGGAACTCGCCTATGAAAAGTAGGCAGCAGCTGTCATCTCCTTCTTCCTGTTCTCAGCCTCCTCTATCCCTAAGTCAGTATCACCTCGTGGTTTTGCAGGTTATATGCGTCTGGGATGCCTGTCTTTTCTCCGAGTGGACTAGCTGTGCCAGGCTGGAACGTCCTCCTCTAGCTGAGTAAGTGCTCGAGAATCCACTGCTTTGCATTTGCTCTAGAAATCGTGCTCGCTAACGAGAGAACAAACCTTCATCTGCCAATCTGGCCCGAGAGCAGACGATTGAAAGCTTGAGGTAGGTACAGGCTCCTTTGAATTCTAGCTGTTTCCCACGGGTGTTTTTAGTCCAGTCATACAAGTGCTTTGGTTCATTGTGTCTTTGTTTTCTCTACATCAGGGTTTTCTCGTGTCTATGTTTGGTACATACTAGAGTATAGGTCAGATCCGCAGTCCAGTTCCACTCCTCTCTGGTAGTGGCTGATTCCCAATTCTGCAGAGAACAGGAACCCTCTCCCCACACAGTGCAAGTGGGGCTAGCCGTGCAGTGCACTTTAATTTCTTCCCGTCCCCTTGGTTACCTCTCCCTGAGAACGGCGGTTCTTTCCTACTCTGAATTGCTTCTTGCCAGACACATTGTAAAAACCTGAGGGGATATTATTCGAACATGAAATACCGGTGTATTGACATGAACTATTAACTTTCACTCCAGGAAGCATAACTAAATCATCCCTGCATACTATATCCTGGCTGTACAGTACCAGACCACGGGGGCTCTGATTCTTGAGGGGGGGCCTGTAATGTAACACTTGCATCCATTCTGTCACCCCATATTCATCTCCAGATCCATTTCAAGCCCTTTAAGGCCTGCTGTATCCTCCCTTGCAGTGGGGCTGGCATTCTTTTACGAGCACTGCCCTCAGCTGCTTGGAGCTCTTTCTCGGCTCCCACATGCCATGTCTTCTCTGTCTCCCCCAATCCTTGCGTTTCACTCGGGTTTACAGTGAAGCTGCTCTCGCTGTTGGTTAGATATGGTGCACTGGGCTTGATGGGCACAGGGTGCCAGCTGCCCATGAGCGTGGGGCACTGGTGATCTCAGGCAGCCTCCTTTGGGGAAATGATTGAAGAGGAAAGCTTCCCTCTGCCTTGGTGCTCTCCCTATCCTACAAGTTTGTGGCAGATGCCTCTTTTCGTTTCCCTTCTCACTCTAGCAGATTTTCCCTCGAAGGCTACATCGACACAGCAAAACGTGCGGCAGCAAGTCTCAGCCCCCAGATCAGCCGACTCGGGGCTAAAAATAGCAATGGATATGTTTTGGCTCCCAAGAGTAGGGAGGGTATCAGAGAACTGGGCTCCCACCCACGCCTGAACAGCTACACTGCTCGCATTAGCCCTGCAAGCCGGAGACTTGCTGCCAGCGCTTTGTTTTGCTGCGTAGTGACACCTGCATTGTCCTTTTGAAAAGGAAGAAAGCAGAGTATTTTCTCCTTTCTCGTTGAGGCTCTGGTCCTCCCAAACCCAAGGAAAAGCTTCTTTCCTACGGGCCCAACTTGACTGCAGGCCCTTAAAAAAGGCAGACTAGCACAGGTGTGCTGGCAGCTGGAATAATGAGCAGCATATGCTAGTGGTTAGATTTCGGAGTCCAAGGCCTCTCGAAGCCAGGAAAAGCCTTGGCAGACAGTGGGAACTGGAGATGTTCCTTTAAGAACCATCTCCTTGTCTAATGGTATACTGACCGGTCCGAGGCCTCATCCCACTCTGTCTGTGGCAGGCCGCACCCTTTCACGGTGCTCTCTAGAAAGTGACAGAACCCTGGTGCTAGCACACAAATGCAAGGTCCTCCAATTAGCAGCTGGAGTTGAGCAAAATAGATGAGATAAAGTACCTGTGCTGGTTGGTTCTGTTCTGCATGCATCCCACAATTCTAACGACAAACAGGGCTGCAGCCCGGCCTTTCAGACAATCTTCCTTTAATACAAAGTCAATATATCTACATACACAGTGGTCTGAAAACCACTTACTGATTCAGTTTGAAATAACAGTGTGAAAGCAACAGCACTTTGCTCTCATACAAAGAAAAAACGTATTTCTCTCCTCCCCCCCCCCCCCCCAAAAAAAAAAAACCCTCTCCCAATAAGATTTTGCTGCAACATACTTAGAAATTTGGGAAACTTTCACACAAGTAGGAAGTAAAATCTCAAAGAAGCCTTTTTCCCCCCTTTCAAGACAGGACATAGGTTGATTTTGGGGGGGGGGGGGGGTGTAGCAGTTCGGTTGCATTTAGCTCATCCCAACAGTACCAGCTTGTGGCCATGTTTACCTCTCTAGAAAATCATTAAAAATAATAATCAAGGGAGAGTAGTTATTGGGGCAGCGTCTCTGCTTCATGACGCACTCTCTTCACCGCACTTTGGCAACACAATTCCTTTTCATGTACAACTGCTGGCCTATTTGACACATGGCCCACTGCATGAAGAGTCTTGGGCTGTTATTACAATACCCATTATTCTGTTGTTGATCTAATGTTTAAAAACTGTACGTGTGTGTCTGTGGGCACCTGCCCGCCATGGCTCTGAGATTCCTCTCTCTCTACTTCAGTCATAAGACACTGGTATTATTTAATCTCCCAATTCACCACTGGCCCTGGGAAGGGCAGGCAACATGGCCATAGGAGGAGGGGGGCGTGAGTTGGTACTAACAACCACATCTAAGCCAGCCCGCTAACCTCACGCCCTTCCAGAGACACCTGATATGTCTGAGATTTAAAATAAAGAGACATTTTGTTCTTACGTGAGCAAGTTAAACCTTTTAAATGGTAGAAAAGCAATATGGAGAAGTAGCAATTTGCACTGCATTTTTATATATCACAGCCATTACACGTAACATTTCTACAGTGAAAAAATAGACTGTCTTTGAACATAATATGAACAAATAAGCAAATTTTTCTTTTAAATTCATTGACTGATATTCTTTGTTTTTTTTTTTAAAAAAAGGAAAAAATACACTATTTAAAAAAAAGGTAATGTCACTTGTTACAGTTACATCGATACTTTAAAGAAGTCACAGCATATGCCACTGACTGCATCTTGCTTGATCTTTCCAAATTATTATACAGCGAGGGCATGTTCATAGCTGTGCCTATGAACTTGGAGTGACAAGGCCTGGCACCAGAGCGTCTCTGAGATCTGTTGTATTGGAGGTGGGGCGTTGGCAGCAATAGCTTATTGGGAATGAATCTCTTACAGAGGCTTCTTTAGTATCAGCCCTGTAAGGGCTCCATTCAAAAATGCTCCCTCCCCCACCCCGGGGAAAAACGAACAGCTGTGTGCAGAAGGGGGTGGTTTAATATGGAAAGAAGTTCTATTTCTGTACAGCTCAAACACGTCTCATTCAAAGCAGCGCCTGAGTGTGCGTCTGGATGAGCTGAAAAGGGGAGAAGAGAACCAACAGTCGTTATACCCAGCCCGGGAAGAGCCCGTCTCTGCCTGACCACACCTCAGCTCTGTGCCCCAGGTAGGGGATCCCTAGTGTACAGCCACTTTTTCCCTTTAAATAGCCTAAAAAAAATAAATGTGGGGATTAGGAGGAATGTTCCAAGTATTCAAAAGATGAGCTATAAAACCTCTTGGGGGGCGGAGGCATTGAGGGAATGGTGTTGGCAAGGGGCCGATAAGCCCTGAATCAGCCTGATGATGAGACTGAGGTTTATTTGAGATTTTTTAAATTATATATATATATTTTTTTACACAGCACCTTCAACTCTGCAAGTGACTTCCTTTAAAGATCGCCAACTAGATTAGTAAATAAACTGAACTCTGATGATGTAACCAAAGCTGGTTTTCTGCTCTTTTCCAGCCCTCTCCTCTCCCTTCAGTGGTAACATTTCACACGGGGCGTGTTTAGCTTTTGGATCAGTTTGAGGATGTCCATCTGCCCTCCACAGCAAACACCACGCGAGGTAACCAGAGCAGTTCACCACTTAAAATCATCCCTCAGTGCCCTGCTGAGCTGCCTTGTCACGTTCCGGGTTACAACATGGGAGTTCCTGAAGGGGCGTTCCTTTCAAATCCTTCCCCCGCTCCCCACTGCATGGTCCAAATGAAAAGGGACTTCTTCTGAGTCGGGTTTATAAGTCCGAGCACTCCTCCCGGGCCAGGAGAGGCCTTCCAGGGCTGAAGTGGTGGGCGGAGTCTGCAAGGCGGATGGCTTTTTAGGTTGCATAGTGATCGAAACTTCCCAGATACTCCAGAGCTGCCTGGTAACAGAACTGATATTCATCCTAGGCAAGGTTAAGAGAGACAATCAGCGGGTTAATGGTTGTGGAACGCCTACCCAGACATTCTAGCGCACGCCTTCATCGCTCACTGCATCAGCTTTTCTGCTGTTGGGCGGGAACAGCCCCTGGAAGAACACTGGGTGTACTGGAAATGAAGAAACCTTCTCAGACAGCCCCAGAGCCGAGCAAACGCTCGTATGGCTCATGGAGCTCCACAGGATGATAAATGCATGTGTAAAACTGGGACAACCATGTCTGCCTTTCATAAAGCGCCTACATCCATGGTTAACTGACAGCCAGGCTGGGTCGGGTGAGGTCAGAATCTGTTAGTGCAGTGGTTCTCAACTAGGGGAGCTCTTCTAGGGGGTACATCAACGCAGCTAGAGATTTGCTTTGTTCTACAACAGGCTACATAAAAAGCACTAGCAAAGTCAGTACAAACTAAAATTTCATACAGACCCTGACTTTTTTATACTGCTCTATGTACTATACCCTGAAAGGTAAGTACAATATTCATATTCCACTTGATTTATTTTACAATTATATGGTGAAAATGAGCAATTTTTCAGTAAGTGTGCTGTGACACTTTTGTATTTTTAAGTGAGGTGAAACTTGGGGTATGCGAGACAGATCCGATTCCTGAAAGGGGGACAGTCGTCTGGAAAGGTTGAGAGCCACTGTGGTAATGGACAGAGCATGGGGCTAGGAGTCAGACAACAGCTGCCCTTGAAGAAAGCCTGTACCAATGTGTATTTGCCACTATACCTAATACTTCTGCTACATGACACAGTAGCTCAGCAATGCAGCCTCGGCCCCATTGGCCCAGATCCTCAAAAGGCATTTAGGCTCTTAACGTCAATTGAAATAAATGGATATTAGGAGCCTAAATAGCTTTGAGGATCGCAGCCCTTGTTCTTATGGAGTTAAAGTTTCCTATTAGCACAGTGGTTAGAAAGGCAAAAGCTCATTCATCCTCCAGGTATGAGAGAAAAGTTAATAGCACCAGAGGAAAGAGAGAATTCAGTGTTTTCCTGTTCGCTATTCCGTTCACAAACACCCGCGTGTGCTAGTTCATCGCTACAATGTTCTTTACCTCTGTCTGCACCATAGCTGGTCGTTGTGTTCGCAGCATCTTAACTGTCTGGAAAATATCTACAACACCCTCATAACGCATTCTCTCCAGGACGATACTCAGTGTGATAAACACCCCAGTTCTGCCCACTCCGGCGCTACAGACGAGAGAGAACAACAAACACTGTGTTATACTCCTGTGTGTATTTTAGTAAGGAAGCAGCAGGAAGTGTAGCAGTTATAAAGGCTGAAGGCTTTGTTTATGTTCTAATATTTCTTAAAGCAATAAATTGGCATCCATGTCCAATGAACATAACATTAGAGGCGGAAAGCCCCTGCTTATCAATCCTTGCCTGTCCGGTGTCAGATTTCCTGGCCAATGTCCTCTACCAGCAATAGACATACTAAAACCACCAGAGTCACTGATCCACAAATGTCAAAAGCTCCAGCAGTAGATAAATATTCAATTTGGAAATTATTTTTATTGTAATTAGAAAATAACTTGAAAAAACATCCTCCACCATTTGGAAGCAACATTATCTGGTTTAATGAAAGAAGTTCTCAGGGATCTGATGAGGTAATGCCCTCTATTTTCTGCTTCAGCCAGTCAGGATGCAAGAATAGTTCTTGCTCCAGCATAGCATCTGGCTTAGCAAATTGTGGTGTAGTTTGGTTTTTTTTATTCAGATGGGTTGGGTGAGCAAAACGAGGCCCTCCACTCAACTTGATGGCATTTCTCTGTTTGTACGCAACACAATAACATTAATTCTGTTTTGGCTGGGAGACAAGAGCTGGGGAGGAGGAGAGCGTGACCCCCGAGGACCTCGTGGAGGGGAATGGAGGAATGCACAGCCCCCCTGGTGTGTCCAGTGAGCTGGGCTTACAGAAATTACAAAATACTAGGTCACCCGCTCTGTTAAGGAATTTGCACTGAGGCAAAGATGGCTGCTCGTTTGCCTACCTGCAGTGGACAGAAATTGGCCCATCCTGACCGAACTGTTCCTTTGTCTTATGCACCTGTCCAATGAAATCGATAAAACCCTCTCCTGATTTTGGCACACCTTGTTCGGGCCAGTCAGTGAACTGGAACTGACGGACGGTTCGGGACTGACCATCCTGGGGAAGAGCAGCAGAAAAAACAAAAGCTGCCGTTAAAACGTGTGGTATGTTCATGCCAATGCCAAATCTCCCGGCTGCCCCGTTCGCGAAGGAGGGGACGGAACGCTGAAGCACACTGCACGGGGGTCAGCGATCGCCACAGCTATAGAACAAATGTGCTCACCTGTGAATGACGTCCGTGGAGTAGCGGCGGTACTGCTCCATGCCCCTGGGGTGCACCAGCGCCCAGAAAGCATCGACCAGTCCGGGGGCTGACCACACTCAGTCCTCCGCTGTGGACCCTTCTAGAAGAGGCTATAGCGCCTCCAATTTTGGCAAATAGTTGCCATGGTGTCAGAATTACAGTCTAGAGCAGGGGAGGGCAAAGTGTGGGCCAGAGCCGGCCAGTCAGGGCTTTCAATCCAGCCTGTGGGCTTGCCAGCCCAGTGGCGCAGCGGGGATAAGGCAGCCCCCCCTAACTGCCGGGGCCGCTCCTTGAAGCGGCTAGCACCACGTCCCTGCAGCCCCTGGAGGAGGGCTCCATGCGTGGCCCTTGCCTCCAGGAACTGCCCCCCGCAGCTCCCAGTGGCTGGGAATGGGGAGCTTTGGGGGTGGTACCCACAGGCGAAGACAGCGGGTGGCAGAGCCGCCTGCCCCACCCCAGGAGCCACTGCTGGTCACTTCCGGGAGTGGTGTGGGGCCAGGGCAGGCAGACAGCCTTTGAAGCAGAAGGTGGTTTCTGCTTTCACTCTGTCTCATTCCAGGGAAATTAAAATCACATTCTAAAAGGAAGGCCACCGAGCCGGTCAAAGTTTTTCCATTGGAACGGTTTTCCATCAGGAAATGCTGATTTGACTAAACTGAAATGTTTTGTGGGAAGGTGTCCCTTTTTGTCAAGTGCTGACGAAGGATCGAAGTGGACTTTGTTTAGACTTTTATATTAAAATGTTATGAAGGGCTCAAACCAATCTGATCTGACCATTAAAAAAAAAAAAAAAGTGGGTTTAGTGAGGGATGTGAAAATGTGCGTTTTGGTACCAGTTCAGGATGAAAGGAAATTTCAGAAATTTCCATAGAACAAAAATGCCAAGTGTCGACCAGCTCGAGCAGGCAGAGCAGGAAAGACGCTACCTTAAGACTGTAGTAGAGTCTCCTGCACGGGAAAGACAGAGGCTCAGTTCCTGTATGTGCCAGGAGCTAAAAGGGCATGTGCTAGCATAAAATGGCAGTTGTGAAGCTACTTCCACATACCCAGGAGCCTCCGGTATCTGAGCAAAGCAGCACAATCCCATCTGTTCTACCGTAGGACACCTCCCGGGGGTCCCCCATTCATTTCAAGACCCAGCTCAAAATCCCCCTCCCTTCTTTTTAAATCCAATCACAACCCTTGTGCGCCTCCTTTCCTTGCTGCTGCTTCTTAGCACAGACCTCCTCTCTGTCCCTTCATGCAGCCTCACCAGTCCTCTCTGCAACAGCATTCGTGTACCACACTCTGCCCTCAGCAGCTCTCTGCAAATCTTAACTGAAAGCATCTCATCTTAATGCCTGTCCTGTTGGATGCTGAGGGTGTTGCCTCTGTAAAAGCCTGTTGGCATTCAGTGTGTATGAAAGACACGACAGAGAGTACAGCTTTCGCTATCAGCAAGGTCAGCCAACCTCCTCATTCACTTGTGATTAATGAAACCAAATGGGCGGGGACTGCAGGACCTTCCATTCGCCGGTCCAGAAGAGTCTCGTTCCTGATCATTCCCCACAGTGCCTCAGACAGACCAAAGCCAGCAACATGTGCTCTGTGCATTTTGTCAAAACACCTCCCTGACCTCAGCAACGTCTATACAAATCTGCTGAAGCATCCAAACGGGCACTGCTGAAGTTGTTGCTCCAAAATCTCCCTAGAATTTAATAATCTTCGGAAAAGAATTCAGAGAAATTACCCAGTGTGAGCTAACAGCCTGAAGGAAATACCACCAGTTGGAACATGTTGGTGGAGTCAGGGGTTTATGAGAAGCTTTGCAAACAGCTGCATAATAGGACCAATGTTGAGCCTCAGATGACAGGAGCTAGAGACAGACAGCCGATTTCAACAGCTTCTGAAAATCTCTGTTCATTTAACAATTCTGCTCCCCACCCCGCAGCAGGGGAATGGAACCCCCATGGCCTGTTTTCCAATCTCCATTTCTGCCACACATAAATCCTGAGCTGGGACTATTCTCTGGATAGTCTCTTGTGTGCAGACTCCAAATGAGAACTGTACGGTCAAGGCATGAACGTAGAATTCACACTGCCAAGCCCAGAACAGAGAGAAGACACAGCACTCACCCTGGCATCAGTAACCTTGAATTCTCGAAGGATATACTGAGGCATGTTGTATTCAGCCATGGGATCCACCACAAAGTACTGGTACCGTGCTGACCGCTCAGCGGGCCAATACTGATGGCACTTTTCCTGCCGAGGGGAGAAAAGACACCAGGTTAGGACAACATAGTTAACCCCTTATGCTGCTGTAGGGCTTTTCGTGGTGTTGTCCTCCCACTCCTCAACCACCCTTTCCATGGGTCCATGCTTACCCGACCCATCTCTCGCAGCTTGGTCAACATCACCACGATGGTGGAGTTGTTCTCCCAGAGCATCCGCCAGAAATCCTCCGTGGTCTCTGCCAGCGGCCCTTGAGTGGCAATGTAGGCTTTCTGTTGTCTGAAAGAAAGCACAAACCCCACACACAAGGTGACAAGTTATTAGCCCAGGGTCTGGGGTGATGGGCTTAGCAACTGGGGGGATAGCATGAAAGCTGATGCATGGCTCCGAACATTTGGAAGGCCTTATAAGCTAGATGGGAATACAGCTCCTTGGAGATCTCCCAGGCTTGGGTTAGGGGCCCGGGACTCAAAGGCCTTGTGCTGGGGTTTCCCTAATTACTGTGACTATGGGCTAAATCCTGACTAGTCATGCAGGAGGAGGTTGCAGCAGGACACTTGCCACCCTCCCACGCACGTCTGCGCAGGACCTAGAGGGCAGTCTGCTGCTTGGCCTATCCGAGCAAAACAGGGGAGGGCCGGGGACCACAGGCAGCCTATTGCCTGCTCTGTGCACCCAGAGGCATGAAGGAGGGAGAGCCCTTGCTGCATCTGGTGCTGCTCAGTGCCCTCCCTCCTCCGCCTTCAGCCTCTGGCAGGCCTGCACAGGCAGACGGTCTTAGAGCATTGCTGCTTGGGTGATACTGCAGCTTTGCTCGCTGGCTCCAACCAGCAAAATACGGATTGTTTCCCAACAGCTAAAGAAAGGCTGAGACAGGAACGATCTGTTCCATAAACATTCCCCATAGTGAAATCGATCCAGCCAAGATACTCAGAGTCTAACACAGCAGCTGGATGGTTCTCTTAAAAAAGGGAGAGAGAATGTTATGACCATTAACAACTGAGGTTATACTCTCGGGAAAACCCCATATTTCAAGCTGCGAACTGATCACAAGCCGGGTCAGGAAGGAATCTGCCCCGTAAAACGTTCAGCATTGCACAAGCGGCAGAGTGTGGGTGGGATTCAAGTTCCTTTGAAGCACCAACTGTGGATTAGAACAGACCAACCATGTTCTGACCCGGGCTGGCAAATCAATCCATTCAACCTTCCTTCCCTTTTTCTGTCATTACCTCTTTAAACTGTACTTCTCTGAGCACCTTGGGAAAAGGGACATCAGCTTGAATTACTCCCTGTTAAAACAGCAGGCTGCAACGTGTGGTCGTTTTTACCTGTATCCATCGATAAAACTGGCATTGATATAGTCTGAGCCCTCCACTCCCCTGATGGGCTGAAGACAGACCCGGGTGGTCTCGTATGGCATGATATTGACAAGGCGATTCTTGAATTTGTTGCACGGGAGGTTGGCGCTTATGAACCTGGAAGTGTGGGCTTTGGAGTTGGCAAGTCGCTGAAGGAAAAAAAACACACACACTTGTTCTAACAGGTGTTCTTTCAGCTCCCGGAAAAGGGTGAGAATTGCTCAGATGCCTGGGAAAAACTGGCTTATTTAGGTGGGCAGGAGAAAAGTTTCCATTGGTCTGGGTCTGATCTTAGACAAATGGTTCAGCAGCATCTTCACGCCAGCCCCAAGGCAGGTGAATTTCTTCCCCCTCCAAGTTCCCCTGTGTGGTTCTGGCTTTCATTTATTTCCTGGGGGGCAACTCCAGAAGCAAAGTGCTGGAGACGTCAGGGCCTTCCCCATTGCAAAGCCTTGTTGTGATTTGTTGACAGTGGAAATACAGCATTAAAATAAAACGTGAGGAGGGGAGGAAATTCAACCTGGATTTCAGAGAGCTGGACTAAAGTCTTGCAGCAGCAGCTGGTCTTTCCCCTGGGACCCACTGCAGCAGCCCTGGAGTCAGAAATGTAATTACTTCTTTAATGTAGAAACACAAAAACATTCCTTTCCCCCTCGAAAGGGCCAGTCGTCTGTCATCCCTTGGAGTCTAAGCAGCAGAACGCTCCTGTCAGAAGCACAGACTTTTCCTCCCCGCCCTGCCTTTGCTCTCCAATAGGAGAAGGTTATTAAGTTCCTTAGGTGCCAGGGTTTTTGGTTTAAGTCCCCATTATCGTCCTACTTAAAAGAGCAACTTCAGGTACACTTCAGTCTGCTGTCTGGGCTCTGCCCTCCCTGGAACCCCCATGTTAGAGTTGTGTTATAATGCTCAGCGATAGTCTACACTGCAGATCGCCTCAGGGAAGTGACTACAGCGTGGTTCTCAAAAACATCCCCATCACACTGACCGCGGCAGAACCATGCGGATCAGCACGATGCGAACACTGATCCCAGCGCTGACTGGGCCCATGGCATTGCCTGGCTGTCCCCTGGATGGTCCAGTTCAAATGGAAGCCCACCAGCACATTTTCTGTCCCTGTTCTCCCCCCCGGTACATGCCTAGAGCTCAGTGTTCTGCCATTACCTTGAACTCCAGCTCCATGCCTGTCACGTGCTCCCCCACCTCTATCTGCGCCAGTTTCTGGATGTAAGTGTAGAGATTCCTGGCTGGGACTTCTGTGTTACCGCAAGCGACGGCCTCCAGCAAGGCGTCGTGTATAAAGCTGTACTGGTCTTCTGTCTGGACCATGTAGTTCCGCTGCGACCTCATGAGGGTGACATGCCCATAAATGTCCACTGTCTTCTCATGCTTTATCCTCTCCAGCATGGCATCAATCACGATGAAACAGCCTGTCCGTCCAACTCCCGCGCTGGAAGGAGAGGTGGGAAGATAAGCAACATAATCCAAACCCCAGTGCCGCCTTTCTCTTGAGAAATTTACCTTGATGGCCGACCAGACGGGAAGGGACAGCTCCTTAGCGGGAGCGCGCGATCGGGAGCATGGGAGGGTGAGCAGATGTGTACGTGAGAGGTAGACAACGAATGACAACGGATGCAGTATGTGACGAGCATGAAAGAGAAGTAGGAAGCAATAGAGACCTTGTAAATATAGATACAGACAAAGAATATAGGGTGGATGAATTACTGGAAGACTAGAACATAAATCAGCAGGGCTAGATATTTCGTGCATTCTGTTGTGTTAAGGGAACTTGCTGAATGACATAACCCAACTCCCATTGACATGAATGGGAGTTGTGTGGTCAATTTTAAAAGCTGGTTAGAGGATTTAGCCACACATGGAGAATTTAGTGTTTTTAATCTCAGGGTTTTGTTTTATCACCCATCGCCATAGCAACTGAGCATGCAGCATCCGACAATTTGGGGGTGTAACGGTGATGGGGGGGGGGGGAGTAAAAGGTGTCATTGGTTTCCAAAACAAGGATACGAGTCATCCTGGCTCTTATCTGCTAAGTTTAATTGCAACTCTGGTACATTAACTGATCAGGTATTGAGAGGAAATGATTTGTAGCCATCTAGGATAATGGCATTCCGAGCCATAAGCAATATGGCTCTATGAATAAAAAGTAATCAAGTTTGCCTGCATGATTTGTTGACAGTTACAAAATTAATGGATGAATAGAAGCTCTGGAGATGTAATATCCTGATTTTAGTAAAGCCAGAGACAAAGGCTCACAAAACCGTACTCAGAATTGATTCCAATTGGCTTGGAGGCAAACATTCCCGGGGCTGAAAGGACTGCGAACCCCAGGGAATGGTAAATCGCAATGTATCGAGTTGCAGGGAGGTGCCTAGTGGGGTGCTCCAGAAACTGGTGTCAAGATAGATCTTCTTTCGGGCTAGTCTACACTGGCAGTGCTCTAACGTGGCTTGTGTAGTCGTGGCAGAGCACTGCGAGAGAGCTCTCCCAGCGCTCTAAAAAAAAACCCCCACCTCCATGAGAGGCGCGGCTCCCAGCACTGGTGCACTGTTTTCACTGGCGCTGAAACTTGCTGCGCTCAGGGGGGTGTTTTTTCACACCCCCTGAGCCAGGAAGTTGCAGCGCAGTAAAGTGCCAGTGTAGACAAGCCCTTAGTATCATTTTCATTAATGATCAGAGGGGCAGGGCAAACAGCATTGCCAATAAATTCACAGATGAGACTGATTCAGAAGGCGTTGCAAACACCAGTGAGGACAGAAATACGCAAATCACAGAATCATAGATTATCAGGGTTGGAAGGGACCTCAGGAGGTCATCTAGTCGAACCCTCCCTGCTCAAAGCAGGACCAATCCCCAGACAGATTTTTACCCCAGTTCCCTAAATGGCCCCTCAAGGATTGAACTCACAACCTTGGGTTTAGCAGGCCACTGCTCAAACCACTGAGCTATCCCTCCCCCCCGAGGATCTACCTGTGGACAGGTTAGAACTATGGGCAGAAAAGCAACCAAATGAGGCTCAACTTGGCAAAAACACAAGTTAATAGACCTAGGAGAAAATAATCCCAGCCCCAGCTTCAACACTGGGAGATGCTGGAAAGCAGTAATGCCAAGAGTGACCTAGGGGTGACATCATCATCTTTTCGGATAGGCATAGAGCGGACATTGTATTTCTGCCTTAGCTCCTTGGAAAGGGGAGAAGACATGATCTTCCTGCGAATGTGAGAGGGTGCATTGAAGTGCCTCTTGTGGTTCTTGCTGCGGTCCGAGGTCACAAAAGGATCGAACTTCATTTTGGCCCGCTGCTGGCTCCACTATGGCCGCCAGGAAAGAGCAAGGGGTGACAGTGGATGGCAAACTCGACACCACTTTCCAGTTGTGACATGGCAGCCAGAAACCCCCGTAAGATATTGGGCTACGTACACATAGACGTCCCATCAGTGAGCAGCTGGGGAACAGTCACCCCCGCAAGAACACACCTGTAACGTTACGTTTAATTCTAGGCCTCACACTCGCAAAGAATTCAGAGTCAAGCAAGCAAAATGAGAAAGGGGCTGACAGGAAGGATTGGGGTTTACAGTTGGGTTGGGTGGAAGCTGTGGGCTCTGAAGGGAGCATGATGCTAGTCATAACTATCTGAATGGTGAGGATACGTAGAGGAGAGAATTATTTGAAGTGGAACAAAGGGCTACAGCTAGAAGTAACAGGATGAATTAAAAAAAGGATCTAGGTAAAATCTCAGGAAAAGCTTCCTGATGCTGAGTCTCTCAGGCAGTGAAATAGCCTTCCACAGGAAGTGGTGGAAGGCCTAGTGCTTCAGTCACTTAAAACTAGATAGGAAAAAGCACTAGAAAAATGTCGGGCACTGGCAGGGGAGAGACCCTTGAGCCAGTCACTTTCCCTCTTTTTTGCAAACAAGGGAAAACACCCCCTCCCTGCATCACCAGGGTGATTTAGGGCCAGATCCTCAGCTGCTATAAATCGATGTAGCTCTGCTGAAGTCAATGAAGTGACACCAATTTACAGCTGCTGAAGATGCAGCCCGTAATCTTTATAAAGAGATGTGGGATTATCCAGTGAAAGGCCCTATAACAGTGCAGGGTGTGTCCGTGCAACATACACACTGGTTTTTGTAGGCACCGGATCTGAAACATGAAGGAGAAAGGTTAGGAAGAAAGAGAACACAAGAATTAAACCCTATCGAATAGGCAGGGAAATTCCATTAAAATAGAGAGTCTTGAAACCCAGAAAAGTGTTTCTTTGAGCTACAGGCGTGTGCTAACAGTCTGTCAATCTATTAGAGAAAGAGGTGGCCACAGCTAAGAACTGAAAAACAGAACGGTCACTTCGCCTCTCTATTAGCCCCAGCAGCAAGTTCAGCGCAATCCAGTCCACAAAAAATAACACAGGCCCTGCCCCCAATAGCTCCCACTCTGACGAAATTTGCTCTGAGTCTGAGCCCAATTTACCAAGAACTTCAGGAAGTTAGATTCTACGTCACTTGAGGGCACCAGATGAAAAGTCGTGTCTGCTGATGTGTGTGTCATTCCTAGATACTGATCAGCCCCCTTCCTTACACCTCTTCATTTGCAACATCACCATGAAGGGAGCTCTCCCGTCAGACACCATTATGATAATTCTAGGTAGGGGGGTTCCAGGCCTGAACAAAGGGCTGGTATGATCTAAGGGCTTCAAAAGCATGTTTAATCACTCAGATCTTTAGGCAGCTTGGAAACTACTGATGCTGTAATGAATAACATGCGTCACCCTTTTACCTCAATGCACAAAAACATTTGGGAAACATCAGACTTGCATGTTAAGGCATTTATGAATCAGCAGGGCCCTGCAGGTCTAAACACTCGCAGCTAGAAATAAAGGGTTTCCTCCTCCTATTCAAAGGCGGTCCCTCTTTTCATAAAAAAAACTCCTGGATCTCCATTAATTAGACTGCATAACACCTAAACCAAGCAGGTTGCTGGAGCTTTGGCAAGAACGGAGCAGCCGATCAGGGATCTGGTCACGGTAAGTCGCCCGCTGATGGCCCTTTTTATTCATTTTCCGAGAGGCGCATGATAATTGCCATCTGCAGGGTTAGTGATAAGTTGCCCACTTACAAAGACTGTTTAAACTGTATCCTCCAGGAGAGGCAGGATTAGAGTCCCCGATTGCCTGTAAAATTCAGATGTTACTTTCCCCAGCACTGAGTGACCTGCAGGCCCCTCCAGATTTCTCCTGAGGCAGGAGGGAGATTTGTCTGAGCTGAGTCGGCAAATGTTCCTCCTTGGATGGTAAATTGAATTAGGGAATGCTACCTGCCCAGGGGGACCTTCGCCGCTCTGCTCTCAGAATGACTGCGGCTCTCAAAGCTCTTTCAAGACGCTGTTCGCTCTCTCCCTTGGCCAGCACAACCCACTCTGCCTCTTGCACTCCACATGGTGGTGATGCTTCCTAACCCCATTTCATCTTTCGTCCATGCCCACTGTGACAGAAACAAGCCTGCGTGCTCCTCAAAGGCCAAACTTTACTGGATAGCACTCTGCCAATGAGGCCTTATCAAAGATGCCAACTAAACCATTCCAACTCCAGCCCCACTCAGTTCAGGAACTGCCGCTCTGAATAGAAACCAAACGGGAGCCTGAGACGAGATAGCTCCTGCGCGCTGGGAGCTGCGATGGGAATGTGTTTGCATGCCCCACTGAAAAGGGGATTTGCTTGGCAATGTGTCCCCCCCCTCCAGCAGGGGCTCCGTGTAGGGGGAGGCTGTGGTTCTGGTAATAAGCGGGTCAGTACCTGCAGTGCACTACGATCGGGCCAGCGTCAGGAGGGTTGCAGGTTTTGACCCTTCTCAGGAAAGCCAGGAACGGGGTAGGGTACTCAGGGACGCCATGGTCGGGCCATGCTGTGAACTGGAATTGGCGCACCTCTCTCTTCTCACTGGAGCCATTCTGCGGAGTGGCAGAGGAACCAAGAGTCACGGTGAGCTAAGCAAGGGCCACGAGACGCACACGGCAAGTTACAGAACGTAGGAATGGGACAATAGAGAGACGTGGCATCAGAGAGAAACGTCACCTTGTGAAGGGAGAACGTCCGAACGCAGAACGTGGCCAATTCGATAGTGTCTAGTAAGGTCACTTGGATCATCCCATAGGTCTCCGTGCCCCGGCCAGGCCAGTACTGGTCACACTTGATCTAGAAAACAAAAAAGTCGACGATGAGCTCAGGAACATAGTCCAAAGAGCACAGTACGCAGCACGGGACGCTCCCTCGTGGCACGGAAAGTAAAGATGGGCCCCTGGCAAGGGAGAGCGGAACAGCAAGAAGCATTGCTTGCTGAAGCATCAGAATAGGGCGAGAGCCCACAGATTCAGCTCCATGTCCTATGTGCATCAAACGCTGCTTCTACTCATAGCGCTGGAGCGTTGAGGCACATTGGTGGTCTGATGTCTGATTGACTGGAATGATTCTGATTGGCAGAACGCTCGGGAGAATATTACACGAGATAATAGGATTCTAACCTGGCCACTTGATCTAACATGGGGCCAGGCTCAGAGCATGTTCCCTCTCCCCTTAGAGCAGTGAAGGGATCTAAGACTTCCCAGGTGGACAGTATTTTTGCAATGAATCAGGGGGCCAGCAAGGCAGGTAGAAATCTCCCAAAGGAGCAGATGAGGGCTGCAGATCAGAGAGACTGCTGCTCCCCACCTCTCCACACACACCTCCCTTGGGGGTCTCCACCTCTCCCCCTCTACAGCACCTGCCCGGATCACGACTAGCCAGCCATCTCGCTGAAGTGTCTCACCCGTGACTTCTCCTCAAGCTTCGTCATCATCACCACCGTCGCTGAGCGCTGCTCCCACACCATCCGCCAGAAGTCGCCAAAGGTCTCCGGCAGAGGGCCCTGTGTGGCGATGTAGGCGTTCTGCTTCCGGTAGCCATCGATGTAGTTGGCGTTAATGTAGTCGCTCCCCACAATCCCTGCATTAAAGTGGCAGAGAGTCAGTTGATTTTGCCTTACTGGAGGCGGGGAGGGGGAAGAGCTTTGCAACAGCTTGAATTCCTCATCGGAGATAGCAGGTGAGTTCCCCAGCTGGGGTAAATCAGCAACCAAGTTACCTCAGCTGAGGATCTGGCCAAGGACATCTCCACTAGACAGCTACTTTTGGGGGAGGCGGGGATATCGAATACCAAGCCTGGCGTATCTTATTTATACTGCACTCGCACCTAGGCGCTGAAGTCATGGACCAGAGGCTCATGGTGCTAGGCGCTGCACAAACACAGAACAAAAAGATAGTCCCTGCACTAAGACCTTACAATCTTCTGGGGCCAAATATGGATCTGGTTCATGAGATGCGCTGCACAGTTCATAGGAGAGTCCCACCCCGGGTCGGACCGATGCCGCAGACACGCCTCTTCGCCATGGGTTTCTGAAGCAGCGAGTCAGGACTCCCTGGATCGTCTGTGGATGAGCCCATCTGCACTGTGACTGGGCGAGGCACGGAAAACAGGGCTGGGGTCTGCAGGGGAAGTAGGCGGCTTGGAAAGGACAGACAGTGACTCGCACCGATTGAAGCGTGTCGCGTGAGAGCTGCCTGCCGGAGTCTTTGGCGAAGCGTCTTTAGGTGGGTGGTGAAAAGCAGGGTGCACGGCGGGAAGAGAGCCGGACCCTGCCAGGTGTCTGTCTTATGGGTCGGAGTTAGAGAGCCACTTACGATGGGCGAAGAGGACGACCGCTGTGTGGGGATTTGTCCTGTAACTCTTCACACGCAGCTGCTGGCAGTATCGGCAGGTTTTTGTTTTCCTACGATTAACTCAACGGAGAAACATTTAACTCAAGTTTTGGGAGGGAGGGGGGGTTCCCGTCCTCTTTGCCGCTGCTGCCAACAGGGTTAGCCTGGTTTATGTGCGATGCTAAACCCATTCAGAACTGCCTGCCAGTCTTCAAAGGCAGTGGGTAATTTCAGGTGCCTGGGGAAACAGCCTTTGATTGAATTTCTGGAGGGACCCTGGCCTCCCTCCTCCAAAATGTAAAAATTCCAAGCGGAAGAGCAGCTGTGTAGCGGCAGCATGAGCGTCAACAAAGGCTGAGCTTCTGGCATTAATCTCTGCAGCCCCCTTGGGCCGGCTGTGTCGTTTGAAATGGTGGCTGGGAGCTCGGGCGATGTTTTGCCGTGTAACAGGCCTTGTTACAGAAAAGTCATTGAACGAAAATTACCTCCCTCCCCCCCCTTCACCGGGCACAGCTGACCCGCTGCAGAGTTAAAAAAAGCAAAATTAAAAGAACTGAAAAAAAAAAAAAAAACCCCAAGCCCAGGCTTCTGGGAGGGAACCTGCCAGCTAGTGCAGAGGAAAGGACTCTGGCTTTAGTAAATCTCTCTGCAGATCATTCTCCACGTGGGGTTGCAAATCTGCCCCTGTCTGCCTTGCCAGTTCCTCCTCTGTGCTACCGTCTCTCCTTAGTTAAGGGCATGAAAACGGCTGGACGATGGGGGCACGAGACAGGAAGAAAAAACTGCTGCTGCCTGGGAATTGGTGGAGCAAAACATGCCCAATCTCCCAGTGCTTTTGGGTACCAGCCACCGTCACGCAGCTGCAGGCTTATTTCTACCCACAGACGAACGCAGAGCTGTCTGGGTGGAGGGTGGAATGGAAGAAACAGAAGAACAGGCCACCCCCACGCACAGAGCTTTACGTTCTCCAACAGCTCACTGGACGGCCTGGCTGGGTGTGTGCAGTGTCTGGATTAACTAGGGGAAGCACATGATTGGAAGCCGTTACCATCTGGTGGCTCTTCACTGCCTGTGTAAGATAGTTTGGGACCTAGGCCCGTTCCTAGTATGCAGGTGTCCCCACTGCACAACCCAACACCACTTCGTTGGCAGAGATGCTAAGCACCGAAGGGGCCATGAAGACACAACTCCCATCTTGCCAGGGTTGCGATATGTTGACTGAGCAGGAGAGAAGCTTGCCCCATCACTGCCAGTGCTGTATCTGTCCTGGAGATAGACTGAAGTGGCTAGACCAGCGGTACTCAATCCGTGGCCCAATTAGCACACAGCTGCAGCCCAGCTGTGTGCTAAAGGCCGCTGGGCCCACGGAGTTGGGGGTGCGGGCTGCCCCATCGCCTGGTGTGGCGGGGCCCCGCTGCCCTACCTGGTGGGGTCCCAGCCCCCTGCAGCAGGGTCTGGCCTTAGCTTGGGTCCAGGCTCTTGGCTGCTGTGTGGTGGGGTCAGGGTAGGGACTGCCCCGCATCTGGGGTCCGCTCCTGGCCCCACGCTGTGGAGGGGTCTGTGGGCGGGCTGGGGCATTGGGGTCTCCAGGGTGTTGGGGGGAGGGGTTCCGTATACTGGCCCACAGTAATAAATAGGTTGGTCTAGACCATAGGGCTGTTAAGCCACCATCTTTTAGCAGCTTGAACACTAAACATAGAGCCCGCACCTGTGCTGGCATCAGACGCTCCCTGGGCTTCGGGCAGAATTAGACTGTTCCAGGTGTTCTGAAAACATCAGGAATTCTCTCTCTCTCTTCCAGTGCATACGACAATGTGACTTTTGAAAGCCTAGCTCTACAATTTAAATGGCTCATGCAATATTAATTTCAGATGGAAAGCAAGCTGAGACACAGTCATCTTTGTAATGAGAAATGTTAGAAATCCTCCTTCAGCAACAGCCAAGGCTGATCCAAATTGATGCTGGTTTCTTGGCAGATCTCTATTATCACGGTTTCCTTAGCAATGGAAATGCCCCTCCTCTGGAATTATTGTGGCAAGGGATTGATTCTAGCCATTCGCCTTATCCCTAGAATTTCTCAACTAACCTTTAACACCAGCTAGGGGGGTCACTAGAACTTGTCCCAGGTCCTGCTCTTGATGCCTAGAAGGACAATTCTTGACTGAAGAAGGCCAACCGTGAACGGCACGTTCCCGGGCAATACACGAGGGCGAGAGGCTTAGAGCAGAACGTCACCTCAGTGGCAGCCAGCCAAGGAAGCCCCACTGCAGCGACTCTGTTAGCAGAACAGCTTTTCTCTCCACAAAAGCATCTCTCATCCCAGTTTGCAAACTGGTGGTTGTGTTGAGCGCCAGGAGCTGTGCAGTTTATTGCAAGTCTTCTGACTACCTCAGGTGTGTCAGTCACATGTCAGTTCAGGAAACTGCTTAGGAAAGGGACTGTAGGACACGAAGCCAAGTGTTATTGCTAATTAGCATTTTAGTGAAAAGGGTTTTTTAGAGGGAGGCTTCCGGTTTGGCCTTGAATATTCAATGAGGAGCAGACCCAGCGTGTCAAAAACACCAGCAGGGTCTCAGAGGCTCACTTCAAGCCTGACACGGATTCTGAAAGCGCCACGTGTTTCCTCCAACCAGTATATAGTCTGGATTCTTCTCGTTACTTGGGAGTACATCCAGCTGGGAGCTAAAGCAGGCTAACCTTCAAGTAAAGGGAACACAGCTTCTAAATAAACGCTCCTTTGAAACTAAGGATGCAGGGACTGTGACCAGGGATCAGAACGTATTCTCATGACAGGACTCTGCCTGCTGCTCTACCAGGGACCTGGTGAGAGGAGACAGAGCAGAGAGCAGTATCATGGGACTCTGTGGACCACAGTGCCCTGCGTTCCCCTGAAAAAGCCACAGGCTAGCAGTAATGTCCAGTCGTAGAGATCACCATGGTTACCTTCAATGGGCAGCAGGATGACGCGGGAATGGTCATAGGCGATCACGTTAGCATAGCGGTTTTTGGGCTTGTTCACTTCAAGGTTCGAGTGCTCCCAGGTGAATTGCTGGCCAGGGTCAATGGACTGGAAGAATCAGGAAAGAAAACAATTAGTCAGAAAGGAGGAGCAGCGGTGGTCAGCTCTGTGCATTCTGCCGCTGCGGGTCAAGTCCGGGCTCTGCAGATCTAGCCAAAGAATGGGGTGCTCTCCATCCCTTGCCCCCAGGAACAGTAACCGACCCTCCCCTCACTGTTTTCAGTATCGTCACGGTGATACGTCCCCCCTCTCCTTTTCTGTAACGTGCCCCAGGCACACTTGGGATATTTTCCATTACAATGCAAACAAACACAAGCCCAGTGCAATTTCAGGCTGCACACACAGAGGCATCAAGTCAAGGAGCAGGTAGGCGAAAACTTCCTCTCCATACCGCTGTGGTACAACTGTGCCTAGAATTATTATTCTGGCTCTCTCTTATGGGCACCATGTTACCAAAAATAGATTGACAACTAGGAGGGAGCTGGGACGAGAGCAACAGATATAATCGGGGGGCCAAAGGGATGGATTTATGAGGAATAAACGGAAGAGCAAAATCTATACATTTTAGCTAAGAAATTATTGAAAAGAGAGACTTAACTCTACCAGTACCTGACGGGATGGGACAAAGGGTGATAACAAAGCATAATGGAATAAAAGTAAGAGAGGGAAAAATTAAGCTAAATATCAGGGAAACACTTCCTTCTCAGTGAGGGGTATTCGACAGTGGGAAGGGAATTGTCCTGTCCCAAGAGAAGCGGGGGAAGCAGCATTGTTTGGGATATTTGAAAACTGGACAGCGCACTGAAGAGCAGGGAACGTTCTTGCATGAGCAAAGTAATGGACAAGGGGGCCCGTGGAGGCTTTGACCCTGCAACGGTTGGCATGTGCCCATTTGGCAGGAGGAGAAGTGGTGCCTCTCCCTGGTCAGACAAGGGTTAAGGAATCTGGTCTTTCCTAGAAGGGATAAAGAGGGGAACAGTGGAATGCACTGGAGAGAAAAATCCTCTCCCCGCCTGTCCCGATGATTTATGCCAGGGTTGGTGGGTTTTTAAGTCCAGCTGTCCCAGATATGGAAATTAGGTTAATTATGTTTACCTCTAAATCCTCAGCCAGAGAATTAAATAAAACTTGGGCTTAATTCCGCCATCACTTTGGAGAGTCTCGGGGGCGGGGGGGGGGGTCCTCCAAATGGGGCTTGGCAGTGGCACATTCCGCAGTACTCCCCGCTGTTCACTCCTGCCTGTGCCCCTCCTAGGGGGCAGGAGTTTGGGGGGACAGGCATACTGCATGCACGCGCTGTTTGAACCAGTAGCCTCCAGCTCCCATGAACATGGGCTCTGGACCCTTGCTGTGCACCCAAAGGCAATTGCTAGGTCCCTTGCCCTCCCCTCAGCACCCTAACCTGCAGTGTTTCCATTCTCCTGGGGCATGGCTTAGATCTGGTGCTCTTGGTGTGTGTTTTATGAGCCGTGCGGCTGAGAGGAGGTGGAAAAGCTGGTACAAAACCGCAAGACACTAATGTCCTCTCGCTCTCTTGCTGCGGAGCATTTCTAACTAATGGGTATTTATACTGTTGTAATGTGTCTGTTTGCTCTCTATCCCTCTAATCTCGCCTCGCTTTCATTTCATTAGTGCTGTTTGTTTAGCTCTGGTTCCCCAACTAGAGGAGGTTTTGCTGGAACTAAGCCAGGGCACTTGGGATATTGCATTATGCAAATGAGACTTTGAAATCTGTATAGAGCATATTAATTGGCTTCCGGCTTCCACGCACTCCCCAGACTCTGAGATGGGGGTGAAAGACCCCAATAGAGCCAAAGAATCTTTCCCCCACAACAGCTGCTACGGCGAGGAGCTGTCTATAGACCAGGAGTCAGCAACCTTTCAGAAGCGGTGTGCCGAGTTTTCATTTATTCACTCTAATGTAAGGTTTTGTGTGCCAGTCATACATGTTAACGTTTTTAGAAGGTCTCTTTCTATAAGTCTATAATATAGAACTAAACTATTGTTGTATGTAAAGTAAATAAGGTTTTTAAAATGTTTAAGAAGCTTCATTTAAAATTAAATTAAAATGCAGAGCCCCCAGGACCGGTGGCCAGGACCCGGGCAGTGTGAGTGCCACTGAAAATCAGGTCGCGTGCAGCCTTCGGCACACGTGCCGCAGGTTGCCTACCCTTGCTATAAAGCATCACTGATATCAGCAAGTAGAGCTAAGTGATAAAACTCACAACCAATCACTCCCTTCCTTTCTCTTTGTGAGCTGGACCGTCTAGAATTGAATCATTCGCCTAGCAACTACCAGCACGTATGATGAACAAATAATTAAATCGGCTGGTCAGTTTGCTATTTATGTAACTTAAGTCACAGAGTAAGCTGGGACAGTCAATTGTGACAGCTGCACTTGGTGAGTTCTATGGGCAAACACCCACCTCGGAAACTTGCTTTCAGTGACGTTGCAGCTACCGACTGGCTTTGGCTAACACTTGAGTGCGTGGCGCCAGAGTGTTTGCAGAGAATGGAAATGGGAGCTTCGCGGATGTGGGCAAATCAAAATGCAAACGGAAGTAGCAGACTGCGGTCTGGGGTTTTATTTCTCCTATTCGCGCCGAGGGCCCTGCTAGTGACTGGCCATATTGGGACCCAGAGCGATCAGTGATACAAAGGAGAGCAACAGACAGTCCTCTGGGCTATTAGCAATGGACGCCTAGTTCCCCTTCTTCAGGAGAGCTGGCTGAGGCTCATAGATTTTCCTACAACCTGTAGGTCTCAATAGATTTTTGAAAACGCCTCAGGGGGTGCTCTTGGGAGCCCCAATTATGGACCAAGACCCATTGTGCTAGGCGCTGTTCAAACACAGACCAAAATGATGGTCCCTGCCCCAAAGATCTTACAATCTAAATATTTGCACACAAATGTGTCTACACGACACTGTTTGCTCTCTGTATCCCAATCCGGCAAAGCACTTGAGCAGGTGCTTAACTTTAAATGTGTCACTGATTTCAACTTCAATGTGCCTAATTGCATTGCTGGATTGGGGTCTGGGTGGATTTCCTAGGCCCATGCTTCTGAGGGCCCACCCAACGTGCCCTTTGTTGCCCGTACCTCATACTCTTGGGATAATTTCAAGTTGTCGTTGGCTTTGAGATGCTCCGTGTGTTCTGCCAACTCGGAGATGGGGATTGGTGGGTGGTTGAGCATACCTAGCAGAAAAGACAGCGGGAGAAAAGAAATCTCATTTAATAATAATAATAAAAAAAAAAACCAATTGTCAATGTTGCATATTTTACAAGGGAAAAAATAAAAACAAGAAAAAAATTACAATGTGAGATCTGCAATGAAAGGAGGGACGTTAGAAGAGAGAAGATTCAGGGCTCGAAATTGTATCCTTGGAAGTAAAAAGGAAAATGAGAGCTTTCCCCCGTGATGGCCCCATTCTCAACATTTACCAAAAGAAAATAAAAAGGGAAAAACAAATCCAAAGAGCAGATGCTTGTTAGCGATTCCAGGAGTGGACTTGAAACGAGCAAACTCTGCCAAAGGAAACCTACGCAGCAAATGTCACAGCACTCGGCATGGTCGTAAACAAACACCAACTCGAAGACAGGGACAGGGCAGAATTCTTGCTGACCGATGATAATAGGGGGTGGGGAGGGGAGTGCAGATGAGAGAGAGGTGGGGAGGCTTTTCAAAGTTGTTGTGGCTCTGCATGGGATAATAAACCCTTCTAAAGCTCACTGGGGAGCACATTGGCCTAGGGCATACATAGAGCTGCTGTCTCCCACGGATCAGAATGATGCACATTTAGCCGAGCTTTTGAGGACTGTTCTAAGTTCAGACTTGAAACACCCCAGGGCTGGGTCAGCTGCCCTTAATCCTGTCCAGCATAAAGGAAATGTTACATCATTCTGGGAACGCCTCTCTCCCCCTCCCCGCAAATGCCAAGCACGTGTTCAGTGCATCACTGTGAAGAGGCTCCTTCCACAGCATGGCTGGCCAGTGGCCATCTCCTCCCACTGCTCTTTCCTCTGGGTCATAGGATATCAGGGTTGGAAGGGACCTCTGGAGATCATCCAGTCCAACCCCCCTGCTCAAAGCAGGACCAATCCCCAGACAGATTTTTACCCCAGTTCCCTAAATGGCCCCCTCAAGGATTGAACTCACAACTCTGGGTTTAGCAGGCCAATGCTCAAGCCACTGAGCTATCCCTCCCCCCATTTTTAAAGTGGAACAGCTTCAACAGGAAAGCCAGAGCAGCTCCCTGTTGAAAGTCTGCTGCACTAACTGGCAGATAGAAGAATTGAACCAGGACTCCTAGCAGCTTAGGGGAGCACCCTAACCACTGCCCTATACCAGCTCTTGAGCAATCCTGCAGAGACAAACACCTACACTACAGGCAGACTCCATGGGCCTGTTCCGGTGGTGCCACTCTCTGATCAAAGCGGCACCAGAAGGGGGCGCTTTTCACCCTTCCAGGAGGATGCCCCTTGCCCTCTCCAAACCTGGCACCTCATGGGCGGTTTGCCGGACTGGAGCACCCCTAAGCCCCACTCCGCTGAGTTCTGGACGGCCTGGGTCTCTGAATGCAAAGGGAGCTCCCTCTGCATCAACATGGGCATGTCTGGCAAGAGCCATGAAAAGGGATCACACTGCACCCTTTCCTAGGGCGTCTGGGTCTGAAGGAGGCTGTCCCAGCGGGCTAATGAGATTGGTGGCGGGGCTCGGTCTGGAATTGGACTGACACTCATACTAATCTGCGCATCCTGCTTTGAGATTTGTAGCTAGGACGACTGGAGAAGGGAGAGCGGAAAAGGTGGTTGGGGGAGAGCGAACTCAGGAATAACCCCCACCACCCATCCCTTGCTCTCAAGCACTCAAATAGAAACCTGTGTGGAAAAGCTTTTCGTGCTCTGCTCATCTGCATCAAATCACCCTGGCCGAGACACTACAAAGGTACTGAGGCACCTAACTTCCACTGAGTGCAATGGGAGTGAGGCAACTCAATACCTGGGAAGATCTGGGCACTCAGTCCAGCAGCATCTCCACTCCGCTGCCTGCCAGCCAAGACACAGGCAACCTTTTGAGAAGCCACCGCATTGTCATCCCCCCCCCCCCGAACGGAAAGGGGAGATGGGGAGGTGGGAGCCATGGAGAATTTCGAGCCCCGTTGGTGGCGTGTGTGGCAAAGTAAGTAGCGGCGGCAGCAGCATGGTCAGTTACTCTGAAAACTCAGCACAGAGATGGCAAAGCAAGCATGACAATCCTCAGTTTTACAGTGTGTTTTTCACCCCCAAGCCCACAGACTGGGTTCACCACAGACAGAAGAGGGCTTGGCCCAAGATCGGTGCCCCGAGTCAGACGCCTTTGTTCCCAAACTATCTAATCATCCCTTCCGGAATTGGACAGCCAGGCAGAAAATGGGGACACGGAGAATAAAAAACAAAACAAAACCAGGAGGCAAAAGGTTTATGCAGGTTAAGCTGGACCAGTATGGCCTCTCAGGCCCAACGGGGTCAGGTTAGAACATTTCTCCTGGCTCGTGGAAGGAAGGGGTCATAGCCAGTGGGTTTCTAGTTTGCCTAATTCTCTACACACCTCTTGCTGTCCTCAGACATGGGAGTCTCCTTCAGTTCCTGCAGCGTGGCCGCATTACACCCCAGAGATAGCTGTGTTTCAGTGGTGGAAGCGAAGTGTTTCTTTCGTATACATCTAGCCCATAAAGAGCTTTGGGACCCTTTTGGCCAAGGGGCGGCCTCTCCATGTATAGAAGAAGTGACGCACTACGCTAACATTATAACAAACGTTCAGCACAGAACCCTTGCTTCCTCCTCCTGCCCTCTCTGAGGGTAAGAGGTAAGTGCTGCAGAGGGCCATAAACTTCTCTTGATCATTAGAGCAAATTGAGCCCTGTTCAGAACAACCACTGGCAAGGTAATAAATGGTTTCCAGATCTGTACATGTTACCCCTCCCACTGACTTCCTCCCACCTGGGGCGGAAGGCAGCGAGGCAGGCAGCCAGCATATGGGCCAGCTGCCACCACCTGAATCTGACTCTCCTGGGAGGAGCGACAGATTATTAGCTGAAGTGCAATTAGAAACAGAGTCGTCAATTAAATCCCAAACAATAAATATACAGGTTTAAAAAACAAACAAACAGGAGCAAACGAAGCAAGAAAACCAGAGGCTCCCAGGCTAGTTGGTCCCAGTACGAGGTCTCTGTCCATCCCATCATGCAGACGATGATAGGAAAGGCCCCATCCAAGATCGGCACCATGGAAGTCACATTCTCCTTTAATGGATTTCAGGAGATGTTTCCTTTGCCAGAGTTCCAGCGAAAAAGCCTCGGCCATCTCAGGCTCCCCGCAGCAGTGTGTCCCTGCACCCCACCCTTCACCCCCATTCGTAAACCAACAGCTGAGTGGGCCTGGGAACTGGCCTCTCTCCTGGTCTCTTAGGGCAGACATAAAGAACCCTTGGAATTGATCCGACATGGGGATAAGGAAAACAGGCTGGAATTCTCTGAAATGAGTAAACACTTTCCCGGCCAGGCTGCCAGGCACATCAGGGTTTCCCGTAAGATCCTGAAATGCACTGTGTCGAGAGGGAGAGGAAAGATCTGGGTTTGGATTAAGCAACCAGCTGGTAATGTCATTTCGCAGAGGAGCACAGATGGGTTCATCTGGGACCACCCCTGTACCGAGAGGAGAGGGTCCTTTCAGCTCAGTGCCAACAATGGACGTAACTGTCTAGAGGCCTGTTCCAACCCCATCATCTAGGACTCTAAGCAAAGGCTTTAGAGCTGCATCTGCAGCTCCTACTGAAGTCAGTGTGTGTTGGAAGCACCTAGCCAAGGGGTAAGTAACTGCCTAACATGCTAAAAGGACTTAGGAGCCCGGATCCCAGCTTCTACCGGGTCAAAGTCTTAGAGCAGGTCTCATCTAGCATTTCAATCACTTGAGCTTCTCTAATCTTATCACTCCACTCTCTACGTACCAGCCAACTCCGCAGAAACGGCACCCGAACATCTGGTGCGGGCCACAGCCTGTTTATCTTAGCAAACTCCCTGCAGTTGGACGGTGCTTTTTGTGAAACCCAGCGGAGGTGCAGACCATAGAGAGAGGACTGTGCTTCCAGGTCAGTGCCAAGGAGCTGCCACTGGAAATGGCCTTTTCCCTAGTTTGTCATAAAAGGGGGTCGGTGCAGGTCTCTTATGAGGAGAGCGGAGGAGTATGGTCTATTGCTACAGTCTCCCCTTTACCCAGACAATGGAGCAACAAACACACACGCAGACCAGTGTACACAGAGCTGCTTTCTTCCACGGATCAGAATGATGCACATTTAGCTGAGCTTTTGAGGACTGTTCTAAGTTCAGACTTGAAACACCTTTAACACGGGAGCCTTGAAACCCAGATTTTTCTCCTGCGAGAGAACAAGACAGGCAGAGGGACGGACGGCGTCTCTTAAGTCAGCCACTAGGCGCTCCGTCCCTATGTTACTGTCGCCACTACTGTCACTTTGACAAGGCCTGCGTTTGGTACTGTAAAACTGGAAGCGCGGTTCAGACAAACAGATGGCACAGGAGAGGGATGAGATGGCGAACGCCACAGGGACACACAGAGAGTTCAGCGAAAAACAGGGAGAAAAAAACAAAACAAAAAACGAAAGAAAAAAAGACAAAAGAAACAAACCAACAAAAGGAAAAAAAAAATGTAAACCAACAGGAACAAAAACACACAGGAACTAACTTTCAAAGTCAAACTCAGGGTCACTGAGAGGGCTGCTCAGACCAGAATCTGCAGAAAACAGTAAAAAATGAATAAATAAAAATACACTTTTTTTTCTCTTTTTTTTTTTTTTTAAATTTCATGCTAATCAAACGGAAAAAGCAACATAAATTTAAGAGGAAATGAAAAGTTAATTTTTTGTGCTGATTCGGTAGGGGCAGGGCCACTGAAAAGTGTTTTCTTTCCCCCAACCCCCTGTGTGTGCACCCCACCCCCTCAGTCCCTCATTTGCTACTGGGGACAGAATGAAGATTCTCTGGATCACAGGGAGCCTTTATAGAGAACAGGGCATGGGCCAGTCTTTGGGCCAGACTAGATTTTATTTTAGTGGCTTCACACCTGCAGCCTGTGCCATGGAGCTCTCCTCACCATTGACACACTGCAGGCTGGCGTATTCAAAGGGGCACCCAACTCCCACGGAAATTCAGTGGGAGCTGGGGGCCTGACTCGTTCTTTGAAAATCCTCACCTGGATTATTGAATAAGTATTAAGATAAAGTCACCACCACCGAGCTCTCTTTGTGCAATGATTCCCTAAGGGAAGGTTGGAAGCATCACCAGGGAACTAGACTAGATGACCTACTGAGGTCCATCCAGTCTTACGATTCTATAGCTGGGGCCATTTAAAACTACACTGCGCACATCCCTGAAGGACACACTAGAGACCAATCCTGCATTGGCCAACGGGGAACAGACTTGCTGGTCTACAATGGTCCGAGTTGGAAAGCGGTTTTCTGATCAAGCCAGCCCTCTGCAAGGGCAGGAAAGACTGCCAATAAAGAATACATCAGCTATTACACGGAGACCGACTAGCTTCTTCTGAGCTTGCTGGCTAGGGCCGAGGTGGAAATGACTCCAGTCCGGAGCACTTCTCTCACATGCTGGCCTCTGTTTGCAGATGGGGCCTAGCTCTGGATGCGCCAGTCGATACCTAGGTGCTAGAATGCCTGGGGAAGTGGGCACCCTAAGCTCGATGCAAACTCCAGCCTCCTCTCGCTCCAGCTTCCTTCTTCCCTGGGATAGAGGCACTGGTATGAATGGAGTTACCCTAGGGATGAATTCGCCCTCCCTGCCCAACAGGAGCTGCTCTGCTGAGTGTCCCATTGGCACTCGTCATAAAGCAAGTTTCCCCAATGGGCACTTGGAAACGGTTCCTTTAACGCAACGTGAATTGCTGTGAGTTGTAGCTGGAGCTCCTCTGGGAAACTGCTTCTACAAAGGGTGGAAGGTCAGACAGTGCTGCAATAAGCCAAGCTCTCCAAGCGACACTGGGCGCCATCCCCGCCTCTGAGATTCAGGCTGCAGGATTTCAAGGGCACGCTGGACTCCCTGCACCATCAGAGAGGCAGCACTGAGGAGCGGTATCAGCCTGGGACCCATTGTGCTCTCAGCTGTACCGCTGAAAATCCAGAGTAACTCCACTGACTCCGTTGCAGTTACTTTGGATTGACACCAGTGCAACACAGCAGAGTTTGGACCAGAGTCCACGACAACTCTGGCTGCTGCTGAACAGTCCCCAGGGGCTGCTTTGAACCTGTCTCCTTGGCTACCTAACGAGATTCAGCCCTTACCCAACCACAAAGCTTGGGCTGCTGAGACTGATCATGGGGAAGGCGGCTCCCATCTCCTCGCTGTGGGAATGTGAACTGAGCACTGCCCTTGTGCTCAGCAGCAATCCTTGCCCTTTGATTAGCTACCAACTTCCCAGCTCCCCCTCTCCCCCCCCAAAAAACGGAGGCAATCCCAAGGACCGAGATGGGCGGGGGGAGCTGCAGAAGCATTACTAACGAGCACAAAACGGCAAAAACGACAACCAGCCCCAAAAAGCACAACAAATTCCTTTCCAACTCCTCCTGCTCTGGGGACCAACCAGCCGAGCAGCGGACCAGCGTGCAGGCATCGCTCTGTGCAGCGGTGCGGGTGCCCCTCTATGTGGGGAAGTGCCCGTGCTGGGTGCATGTCGGTGGAGGCTTGCAGAGGTGCCATGCAGACAGCTGACCTATGCACATGTGCGGAGGCCCGTAGGTGTAGACGGGAGGGTGCCTGGTGCCTCTCTGCAAGGTGGGTAGGTGTTTTACTACCTGGAGAAGAAGACCAGCAGGACCCCCTAAGAGGGTGCTTGCACGAACGACTGGTTGTCTTGCTTCTCCTTGTGATGGATTAATGTCTCCGCACGACAGAGCTGTTTCCGAAGAACTATTTTGGTGCATCGGCACGCAGTGCCCGTTACAGATGTGCTTGCACCGGTGCATTCTGGGAATCCTGTAGCTCCCATCCCTGAGGCCCTTGGGTAATTTCCAGATCTGAGGCCCCGCATTATGAGATGGAGTCAGGGGGACTGGCTAAGTCACGGCTGCCGATCTAACCCAGGCTGCACCAGTCCAGTTGGACCAGCCATTGCAGCCATCTGGTACAACCCATTCACAATGGCTGGAGTGGCTGTTGTGTGGGGACACAAGATGCTGCCACCCCAGAGGGCTCCAAGCCTGGATTTCTTGCAGCACTCTCGCTTAGCATAGACAGGGCACAAGAGGTATCTCCATTGTGTTTTTGGCTAGAGTTGGATTGCAGCAGAGGCAGCATTGCAACAGCCTTAATGCAGGCAGGAAAGGACTGGGGGAAGGGCAGTCACACCACTTCTCTTTCCTAGGGAGAGAGGCTGGTTTGCAGCCAGTTACCTGGAGTCTGGAAGTTGATGCGTCTCATCTCCACCGGGTCCTTGGGGTGGTGAGGAGCGATCTCAGCGTTGTTCAGGAGACATTTCGTCCGCGGCTCGGAGTCTTTCCGTTTGCTTTTAAAAACCAAAGTAGAAAGCCTGTTGGTTTGGGGCCCTTTCTGCCTTTCTGACTGACTCGGGCAGGCCAGCAGCCGAGCATAGACCTGATGTAAGTGGGTGTCACTCATGTGAGGCTGAGACAAATGCAGCCATGACCTGAATGACCTACTGGCTCAGAAAATGGGTGCACGGCACAAAGAATGCGACTTGCACTCATGTGGCACTCAGCGGATGTGACGTTCTCCCAATGACCCTGCAAGCCAATACCAATGTCCTGGAAGCTACTCCATCATACGTCGAGGGCTACGGCCACAAAGGCACCTGACAGGCTTTTGTATGACCAGGGGGCTTTACCTTAAACCCCACATGGGCGGCTTTTCTGCTATAGCCTCTTTTCATCGTCTCAGTTTGCAAGTTGCACCCACTCACGAACCGACTCAGGCTATGTCTACACTGGCACGTTCGTCGTTCAAACTTTTGTCGCTCAGGGGTGTGAAAAACCCCCCTACCCCCGAAGGATCAAAGTTTGAACAATGAAAAGCGCTGGTGTGGACAGCGCTTGGTCGGCGGGAGCCGTGCTTCCGGCGATGAAGCTACCGCCCCTCATTGGAGGTGGTTTTATTTCGTCACCAGGAGAGAGAGCTCTCCCGGCGATAAAGAGCGGCTACGCAGCGCACCTTACGATGGCGCAGCTGCAGCCTAACGTACACTGGCCACTTCATTTACAGCACTGGTCATTTACCGAGCCTGTTCTACACACAAAATGTACACTACTTTAATTAAACCGGAGCTAATCCCTGGGTGGACGCTCCAAGGTCTTGTCTACATGAAAGAGTTGTCCTGCTAAAGGTGTGATTTTAAACTGATTTAGTTTTGCTGGTGCCAAAGGCCGTGTGGACATGCTTAATTTGGTTTAGTTTAGATTGAATAGAAATCAGTTTAAGTCAAACTGAAATAAGACACTCTTAAATCGGAATATGAACGTCCACACAGTCTTTGGCACCAGTTTAGATATGTTATTTTAAATACTGATAGATGATAAACAGGCGCAACATTCTAGTCTAAACAAAGCCTACTTCAGCTTAAGTGCCTTATTTTAGTTTAGCTTAACTTGTTCCTAATCCTGTTTGGACTTGTCTACACATAAACTTGCCCTGATTTAGTTAAACCAGTGCAAATGCCTGAAATGGACACTCCTATAGGTTTAAAACTATTTACATTGGTTTAGCAAATTTACAGGGGCAAACAAATCAATTGAACCCTGGTTTCTGTTGGGCTTGTCTTCGCTTAAAATGCTACAGCAGGCACAGCTGGGCTGCTGCAGCACTTAAGTGTAGACACTACCTACGCTGACGGGAGAGAGTCTCCCCTTGGTGTAGGGGGATCCACCTCCCCAAGAGGCGGTAACTAGGTCGACAGAAGAATTCTTCCACTGACTAGCACTGTCTACTCAGGGACTTAGGTGGCTTTAATTTAACCGTGTGGATTTTTCACACCTGACTGACATAGTTAAACCGACCTAATCTAGTGTACTCCAGGCCAAAGTTGCACCAATGTAACTAAATCAGTTTAAAAATCCCATCTTTAGTTAAACCAGTGCAGCTGTGGGCGTAGACCAAGCCTAACTGAATTACGCTAAGGCGAAATAAACCTGGTTTAAACCCAAATACACGTGTCCACCCAGCCTTTTGCACACCTTTAACGACACTGGTTTCAAGTCACACCGGTGCAACTCTGCGTGTAGACAAGTTCTGGTGTCGACCGAGGGATTTTAAGCCCCAGGAGCTGGAGTCTACAGGAGCGCCGGCAAAGCGCAGACTGTTCTACCCATGGCTCCGAGGCGGAAAGAAATGAGATTTGCTTCTCAGTCTATTTAGAAACTTTCTCTGCCTCGTTGCAAACTGAGAATCTCATGTATTATAGCCCAGGTCACTTCATGGACACCCCCCTTCCCAGTCTGCACTGCACAGAAACCCACCCCGGTCCCCATGCCTGCTGCAGCTACAATAATTACATACACAGGGGTGTGGAGTGTTAATGCATTTTTAGTTGTCTTTTAAAGCCTGTAGTAGCTGGAGGCAATGCGATAAGCCCAGACTGCTCTACCTGGAGCACTGCTTGGGAATCATGGCACTTGAGGGGGGGATAGGGAGGTGTCACTTTATTCTGGCTCCAGTCGGAAGCAGCGGTGAATGGTTCATGGCCAGGCCTGTGAGTTATTACTAGCGAAAATACTCCCAGCCTTGGAAATGGCTGGAAAGACTCCCAGAGTTTCAAGGAAAGTCAGCACAGAGCCATTGGACAGGGAGAGGACACATCCCCTGGCCCTGCGCTCGGCTGAGACTGTAACACGAGCGGGCGCTTCTCTGCTCCATTAACCCAACATTTACTGTCACCCTCACTCTCCTCCAAACAGGATTTGGCTTTGGCTTGAAGAAGAGCCATCCTATCATGGACAGGCAGCTGGGCTTCCCTTCGCCCCTTCTGCCTTTCCGCTGGCACAAACACGTGCCTGTGAGATCTTGGTACCCGATGTCCTTTAGGACAGTGGGAGTGCCAAGGGCAGGAGATGAGTCATCATGGGGCAGAGATCTCTGCCCCAAGACACAGCCAGTCCGGTGCGGTGGGGATCTACAGAGATGCCAAACCTGGGGCTCTTACCTGTCTGGCTTGCTGTCCGGGGAGCAGTAAGTGGAAGGAAGAAAAGACAAACGTTGGGGTTAGAATGGAGCGCGAACCCCCACGACACACACGGAAAGGCGAGAGCTCCAGCTCAGAGCGGCACCAACATACGGCAGGAGGGGGACTCCTGAGCCCTCCGCCCCCAGAGTATTCAGACATTTCAAATCCAGTGGGGATATAGCAAAGGCACAGCCAGCAGGTGCCCAAGAACATCCCCAAGGGCATGGGCAGAAATCTCCAGGCAGATGAAAGAGAGCATGGCACAGCCTGGTTGGTAGAGCCCGCATGCTGGGTGCCCCTGCTACCGGCGTCACTACGTGACTTGTGCTGGCACAGTCGCTGTCATCCCCGCTTCCTTGGCTTCCCCCCCTCTCTCCCAGTCCTTTTTCTCTGGCCACTCCCTCTCCTTTCCCCCACCCCGGCACTCTGCACATGGTCGGGCTGGGCCTGGGTGCTCCTGGAGCTGAGCCAAGGGCCTGGGAGCTGACACGCTAAGGTCGGGCTAGGAGCCTGCTGCTGGAACTTGCTGCTCTGTGCTCATGCGGCTGGCTGCAAGAGGGAAGGCGGGTGGCTTTCAAGGAGCCTCCCACAAACGCACGATGCACCCCCACTGCTCCTCTTCTCATCTCTTCTGCATCCCCCCCTCCCGCCCCCAGCTGGAGAAGCAGCCTAATGCTCTGATCCGGGGGCTTGTGTGAAGAGCACCAGACCGACAGCCCTGGAGGCCTCTATTGACCCAGACGCTGGAGAGGCTGTGGGCATCAGCAGAGCATTCCTCAACATAGCCCAGTGTGAACATCTGTCCTCTTCGAACTGGGCTGAGATCTGCCAAACTCATTTCATTGGAGGCCACTGAACTACCACTACAGGGACCCGGCTTTATTGACTATGGACCCGGGCTGGATTTGAACCAGGTGGATCCCATTACCAGTCCCCTGAGCTGCCCATTCCCCCAGCATCTCCTTTCCCCAGCGCTTCGCTCTGTAGCTCTGAGCGGGGCCGTGCCCTCAGCCCAGCGACTCCGAGACAGAGTGTGCAATGCTCTTGAGCACCTGGGAGCGGGCACAGATCTGGGCGAGAGGCCACCCTTACTTTTTGTAGAGCAGGATGGCGATGACGATGCAGATGATGAAGACCACGGCGAGGACTGGCCCGATGACCCATATCAAGCCCTCCTCTCCGTCGATGATTGGCTGCGGGTCGGGGTTGTCCAGCTGGATTGGGTCGGAGAAAGGACTAGCTGCGAATGTCTGGAAAACACAAAACATCATAAAACAGGATTCAGAAAGGGGTCTGGGCCTGGGAAGAGCCACAGCTTCATTCCAGAAGAGAAGCCCCTATAAGGGAGATAGACCCACAAGCTTTGGGGCAGACACCAACCACTAACTCATGGGGTTAAGAAGAAACTTCCTCTATGAGCAACTTTTCCCATAGCTGTCCAGTAGAGGGGTTCTTGCACCTGCCTCTGAAGGAACTGATGCTGTCCGACAGGATGCTAGATTAGATGGACCAAGGAGACCCCACGTTCTCATGAACGGCCAAGACTGGCTTAGCCCAAGGTCCATCTAGTCCAGTGGCTCCCAACCTGCGGCCTGTGGGCTGCTTGCTGCCCAATCAGCACACAGCTGCGGCCCATGTGACATCCTCAGGGCCATACAGGATGTGCCCCATAATGGTAAATAGGCTGAGAACCAGTAATCTCGTCCCATAGCCAGTCTCCAACGCAATCAGCACCAGATGCTTCAAAACCTGTTGTGCAGGCCTCCATTTCACACTATCCCAGCGGCCTCTCCCCGACGCTGCCTCCAATTCCTCACCTCACCCTCTGGATTTGGCGCTCAGCCAGGATTACATTGACACGGGGGAGGGGGAAAGGAGTGAAGAGGGGATTAATACTCAGACACAGAATGACCTGGTGACTTCCCCCCCACCACCACCACCATCCCCCCGCTAAGTACAAATTAACAAACACAATTTTTCTCCCCTTCACTCTCCTCAGCCTAGGCTGTGCTCCCAGTGCAGAACCACTGACACGCTCCACCCCAGAGGAGGCTGCCTGCCTTCTAGAGGAGCACTGTACGTTCATTCTATTAGGGATCTGGCTGGATGGAAAACGCTACCACACATAGTCTGTTACAGCAGAGCCCTCTTAGTCAAAAGCGTCTCATGTCTCCAGACAGGCCCCAATTCCATGGAAATGCCCTCCTTGCATGCAACTCAAGAGATCAGTATAATATCAAACGCTTACTTAGCGCTTTCCTTTGTCAAAGCTTTACAAATGTTACGACACCCACTGACCACGAGGGAGGTATTATCACCCCCATTGTACAGATGCGGTAACTGAGGCACGGACGGTGACGGTAGCTGGGGCAGGATGACAACTCACGGGTGGGGGGGCACACAGCTTTGGGCTCACTCCCCCAGAGCAAGCGGCCTTCCCTGAAATTCCACCCCCCACCCAGGGCATTTGGAGGAAGGGGCTGTTCCTGTCCACAGACACGGAGGATGGCTGCTGTTATTTCAGCCCATTGCTAGTGACTCTGCGGGACCTCGTCCTTAAAGCAGAAATTACCACAAGCAGGAGTAATCCGATTGGGAAATCCGTTCCCAGGCGTGTCAGCCTAATCCTTTAATATTAAATAGACAACTAAATATTTATTTCCAGCCACCCCCGCTTTAAAAACGTGATTGCAATAACTTCTCGCTACAATTCCGCTGGGGGATTTAATGTGATGAAGTATTAGACTGTTTCCTATTTCGCAGCAGGAAAAAAGGCAGGTGAATATTAAAGCAATTGCTCTCAGAGGGTCAAATTCAGGCCTGTGCAGCGCCACTGAAATTCACGGGATTGCCAGGGATGTAGACGAGGACCCAGAGCATGCCAAACTGATTCTCTTGGTAAGGCACTCCCCGCTCACGCTCCCCACATTGCTCTGAAAGCGGGACGCCTGCCTGGGTTTATTGCTCTGCTGGGGGCGGGACACTTTTTGCAACAAGTTAGGGTCGGTCCTTGGGATCTTTGAACCCCAGGGTATATCTGAGCTGATATTTCAGTATCTTCCGGTTCTAGACTCACATCCGGAGCAAAGTGTAGAGCCCTGCGCGGATACCAAGTTTGTATCTGCATCCGATCCGCAAACATGGTCCGCAGATACCTGCAGATTTGTAGGGCTCTAACCAAGTGTGTAAAACCACCTCCCAAAGCAGGCCTGTAAAACTGAAGGGCATCGCTACCTGGCCCTGCGTGTGAGTGCCTATTTCCACCAAGGGTATGTGCACCTGCAAACAGCCCTGCTCACAAATTTTCCAGGTGGATTTTTGGAAACCTTTTCAATATGGGCCCCCTGCCGCAAAAAGCCATTTTAAAATATTCTTGGAGGAATATGGCTCCCAAGCGCCATACAAATGGTACGTGTCGGGTCCCAGGCTGGCTTGCAAAGTAATTGCACCAGCAGCAGCCGGTTCCGGTCTGTAAGGGGACAGCGGGATCCCTAGTCTCTGCGAGAGACAGACAGCAGAGGAATGAGTGACACTTACCGCTTCCAAGTCCTGCAGCACTGCCAGGATGAAGAGGACGTATTTGTGTCCTGGCTCCAGGGCTTTGTTTTCGAAGTTGTCGTAGTGTTTCAGGTCCCCCAGGATGAAGTGGGAGGGCAGCGTGCGGAAATGGGCAGCGATGTATGGCTTGGGGTAATCCAGCTGCCGGGAATGACGGAGGCTCCGGCGCTGAAGCCTAGAAATGTCCTGAATCACCTGGAAAAGAGAAGAATGCAACGCTTGAGACCCAACTGCTCAGTGCACCAGGACCAGGAGGAAGGGAGGGAGAATTGAACTGTTCAGTGCGAACATATTAGCTCCGCTTGTTCTACGTGCTGTGGGGGATTCGCCCTGCCCCACTCTCTTTGCTTGGGGCTGATCTCTCCAGGAAAGGGGCCAATGGTGCATTACGCATCACCCAGTCGGTTATTGCCATTTGCTTGTCTGCAGACGTGCCTCTCCCTGCGATCTGAGCGGAGCTGACCGAGCGCTCACCTCTTCCAGGTCCATCTCCTCGGGGCTGCTCACGGAGTTCACGAACTGGCCCCCCCTCGATTTCTTTAAAGGCACCACCACGATGTAGTAAGCCCTGAGAGTCAGGAAGGAAAAGACAAGAGGGATGAGGCTGCCGGAAGGAATCTCACACAGCCCCTTTGGCACAGTCCCCGGAGCTGATATTTCCTAGGATGTTATTTTTTCTACCTGGCATCACCGTTCGTTATGGAAGGAGCCTGGCATGCTGCTGATGGGAAAGCAGCAGAGCAACGCGATGATGATGGTGGTTATGTTAGCGTTGGTCCCACGCCACCTCTCCCATCCGCACCCCCACTCGCTGGCTGCAGGCGGAGGCTGCTTGCCGGCTGACACCCTGCATCCCTGACTTACACCATCATTGGCGCTGTGAGTGGAGGTCGGCCTTTTCCTCCTCTCCAAGGACCACACCCTCATGGCTGCCTACCCACCCTCTGTGCATCACCGCAGGATCTGAGCGAGCACCTTGCAGCAAATGAACCAGCCCCCATCCGCGACTCTGCATCGAATTGTTTTCCTGTGGGCGGCTGTCTCTCGGCTCGCGCTACAGCAGAAGCCTTGGGTTTGTCCCTGGGATCCAACGTTCCCAGGTCACCAGGCCACTCACGGTGTTGTGGATGGGGGAGGGAGAGCCAAAGCCAGTCATTCGCTCTTTGCCCCTAGCTTGGTGTAAAACACTAGCTAGTTTCCACCCTGGCACTGGGGCCCTTTTATTTTTTCCCCACGGGTCCTTCCTTCCCTGGCAGGCCTGCCTCTGAAACCATCATTCGATCCCTCTTGTGGCTTCCGAGCAGGGGCAAGGGCTGCAGAGCAGACTCACGGAGGCTGGCACATCCCACTCTTGGGCCCTGGGCTGCGGGGGAAGTTGCAGTTCCTATCAACTGTTCTAGGCAACTATGCCTCGTTCGTATCATCATGTGTACCCCGCTATTTAATATCGGTATCCTCACTGGGATCAAGGCCCCATGGGGCTGGGGGCTGCGCCGTACCGGAGGGGCCTTGTCCCCAGACAGTTTACAAGCTAAGGGGGAGGTTTCCCAAAGCATAGATGGCTGTCGGCCCTTCACCCCCACAGACAAAGGATGGATTATTATCCTCCTCGGGCAGACAAGTGACTTGCCCAAGGTCACACAGGGCGTCTCCGTGCCAGGGCCAGGAATCAAACCTGGGTCTCGTGAGTCCCAACCACCCTTCCTCCGAGCTTACAAGGGCTTGCGGTGCCGCAAGATGAATTGAACGGGACAGCGACCCCCTGGCAGATGAAGGAGGCTGCGTAATAAGGACACCAATCCTTCCCCGCCTACGTCACCAGCTTCAATCTGGGCCAGCAGTGACTGACAGCCATTGCCAACTCTCCGGGGGCTGTCTGATGGTCCGTGGCGGAATGAGCCAGTGGTGCCCGCCTGCTCCTAGTGGGTAACTTTGCTGGTAGCCTCAATGGACAAGCCAAGGACTGAATGGGCCACAGAAGCTCAACGTTTCTCAGCCCAGGATGGCTCCTCCACACCACGGTTGAGGCACACTTGCAGGACAGCTAGCGGGGAGACGCTTGCTCTGCCCCCGTTCTGTGCACACTGCGGCCGCCTGCACGGCCCTGTGCGTTATGATCGACCGCCACTACGTTCACCGCAATAACAGGAACCTACTGGACAGGCACCGAGCTCTTCACGTCCGGCAGGATCACCACCACGTTGCCATCCGCGTCGGCCTTGTGAGTCACCTCCGGCTTCTTGGTCAGCATGTCCGTGGTTGTCCAGGCCGCCACGTTCTGCTGCAGACCGCCCATGCTGTTCCCCCGGTTCGTCAGGACAAAGTTGTAAAACGTGCGGGGCTTCAGATTGGTGATGAGCTTTTTGGTGGTGCGGCCGTCCACGTCGATGTTCAGCTCGTTGTACTGGATCTGAGCAAGGCCAGAGCACCCAAAGGAGTCAGCCTCCTCTATGCAACAGCACACCGCAGAGGTCCTGCCCTCCCCGGCGCCCAGACAGCACGCGGCACCAGCACTGCCCATGCAGTTCAGCCTCTAACCCCGCCGCGCACGTGGGAACGAGCGTCTGGGTGGGGAGCAACCGTGAAACTCCTTTGGCTTTCTATAGCGCCCTCCTCCGTAGGGTCTCGCAGCACTTTACAGGCATGGGATGAAGCCTCATGACTTCCCTGGGAAGCAGTATCCCCATTTTAGACATGGAGAAACTGAGGCACGGACCACGGAAGCGGCTTGCCCAAGGTGAGAGGGGCTCAATAGCAGAGCTGGGAATGAAACCGATTCTCAACCGCACCGGTCACATCTATGAGACACCACTCCCTGCCTATGGTTGGGAACACAACTCAGCAGCCCTGGCTCTTAAGCTCCATGCTCTACCCACTAGCAGGGCCGCCCGGGAGCCGGGGGGCAAATGGGGCAGTTTGCCCCAGGCCCTGCAGGGTCCCCACGAGCCCTGGCTGAGAATCCCTTCCCTGGCTAGCGGCGACTTTTTAATTTTTACTCACCTGGCGGCGGTCCGGGTCTTCGGCGGCACTTTGGCGGCGGGGGGCCCTTCAGTCGCTCTGGGTCTTCGGTGGCACTTCGGCGGCGGGTCCTTCACTGCTGCCGAAGACTCGGAGCGAGTGAAGGACCCGCCGCCGCCGCCGCAGACTCGGAGCGCCACCGGGTGCCTTTTTTTATGTCCGCTCCCCTGCTTTGCCCCAGGCCCCCTGAATCCTCTGGGCGGCCCTGCCCACTAGATCATATTCCTCCCCCACCCTCCATAGCCGGGAACAGAATCTAAGAGTCCCAACTCTCAATCCCCAGCTCTATACTTCATTGCCGCTCAGACAAGTTTTTGAGGGCAGGGAGAAGAGGCTGTGTTCCAAAACACCACAAAAAGCCCCTGGCAGGTTCAGGTAGAGGTAATGGAGACAAGCTTCCCGCAGTCAGACTCCCCACGGGAGCAGCCTGGATCTGCTGAACCCCGAGCAGGAGATTCGCTTCTCTCCTGGAGTGCCCATGGGAGCTGGTTTCAGGGGAGGAGGAGGGTTTAACCCTGAATATACCACCCCCAAATTCTACCCCCTGCTGCCCTACAGGCCCCGAGAGGCGGGCCACGGGGACAGGGTCCCCAGTCTCACTTGCCTTGTAGGGGATGGGAGAGTTGTAGTTCTCGGGGAACTCCCAGCTCAAAAGGACGGAGGTCTTCATCACCATCTTCACCTTGAAGTTTTTGGGTAAAACTGCTGGAAGGAAGTGCAGGGGTGGGGGGGGGGGGGGGGGGGGGGGGGAGAAAGAGGGGGGGGGGGGAGAGAGAGAGAGTGGAGGGGTTATCAGACACCGACAACAGGGCGCTGGCTGCACTGACGTAGGGAACAGAAGGACCTGCTCCCTCTTCCACACTCTGCTTGGGTTTTGCCAGAGTCCCATCCCTGACACCCCTTCCCACGCCAAACCCTAGCCTAACCCAGGGGCAGGGTGGGGGAGGGTCTCTGCCCAAAGACATCCCACCTCCCCCCACCCCACCCAGCCTCCCTAAGCCAAAACCCCCCCTGAAACGCTGGCGGCCTGAGCAGCTGCTGTGGAGAATAAGGCTCTGGATGTCTGAGCAGGCTCGGCTGAGGACAAGCCCCCGCCGGTTTTGCGTTTGGCATCTGGCTGAGTGGCGGCTTGCGAAAGCTGAAGAAAAGGCTCGTCCCACCTGTGAGAGAGGCTGGCCTGCCCCGGTGGCCAGTCAGGAGGGCGCCTGGACTTAACTTGGAAGGAAGCAGTAAAAGGGACTTACCTGGCGAAGGCAGAGAGGAGCGCAGGGCCCGTGTGTGAGACCAAGCGCTTTGCATTTACTCACCAGCCCGTCCTAGGCTGGCTGGACCGCCCCCGGCTCTCTGCCTCCCGGCGCCAGCCCCGGTTACAAGGAGAGAGAGGAGAAACCGGTAAGTCCTACCTTGGTCCAGTAGGAACGTCCGATACTGGACGGTCGGGCTGTATGGCCCGGGCCCTTTACTGGTGTGAGCCCGGATTTTAACGTCGTAGGCGGTGTTGGGTTTGAGGCCGTTGAGCGTGTATGAGTTCTCGGGGGAGGGGGACAGGTCTTTTTCCAAGGGGTTGCCGGGGGAACCGGCTTCCCGGTAGGCCACGGTGTACTTGACAATGGCTCCGTTCCTCTCGGCCAGCACGGGGGGCAGCCAGTTGAACTGGACCGACATGGAGGTGATGTTGCTCGCCTCAAGGATTTGGGGGTAACCTTGGGGGATGTCTTCGGGGATGGTCAGCTCCTGCACGGCCTCTTCCCCAAAGCCAGCCCGGCTTTTCACAGCCAGCTTGAAAACGTACGTGGCGCCCTTGTGGATGTTGGTGGCGGTGTACTTATCCTCCTGGGCCGTGAACTCCAAGGTGGATAGGGGGTCGATGTCCTGTCGACCGAACTGGAGCCGGTAGCCCATGACCTGGCCCTCGGCATCCAAGGGAGGCTCCCATTTCACCAGGAGAGAATTCTCCTGAGTCTGATGCACGGACAGGATGGGCTTCCCTGGAACTGGGAGAGAACAGAGAGAAGAGACAAGCTCAGTTCCGTGCCAGCTTTCCTCCTCGCACCAGGGATGGAGAAGCTGGGTGAAGGGGTCAGAGGGCAGAGCTATCTAACAAAGCGGGCACAAGGAAATCCTGGCTTCTCTTGTTGGTTCTGCTGCTCGCTTGCTGAGTGACTGGCCCAAGGCCACGTGGACCAACCCTTCTGAGTGACCGCTGATTTTTGGGTGCCCAGTTCAAGACATCTTCAGGCCTGAATTCAGCAGGGCCAGGCACCCCCAGCTGCCACCGACTCCCAGTTACCGTGAAAATCAGGCCCCAGGTGTTTTGAGTCAGGCTCCCAAAATCAGTGGCAGGCTCCCAAAATCAGTGGCCACTTTCGAAAGCATTTACCTTGACTTCCCTGTGCCTTGGTGTCTGAAACGGGAACGTTAACGTTTGCCCCACCTCGCAGGAAGTTTTGTGATGATGAATGGGTTAATGTTCAGACTGCATTTAGAGCCATATATTCCAAATCCAGGACGGACCACTGTGATCACACAGACGATCCAATTCGATAACACCAGCCAGAGAACTTCCCCAGAATAATTCCTAGAACAGGTCGCTTAGGAAAACATCCCATTTCGATTTGAAAGCTGTCAGGGATGGAGAATCCACCCCAACCCTTGGTAAATTGTTCCAATGGTTAATTACTCTCGCGTAAAATTTACACTTGTTTCCGGTTTGTATTTGCCAGGTTTCAATTTAGGAAAGGAAACATACTATCGAAGTGCTAAGTACTACTCCAGAGTCAGATTTAGACACACAGTTGTGATATTTTAACTCCCTCTCCCTCCAAAATGTTCTGCAGGAAGGGTCCCATGGTGACTCAGGGCACGTCTTCTATCAGGGATCGATTTATCGCGTCTAGTGTAGACGCGATAAAATCGATCCCCGATCGCTCTGCCGTCGACTCCGGAACTCCACCGCGGCGAGAGGCGGAAGCGGAGTCGACGGGGGAGCGGCAGCGGTCGACTCGCCGCCGTCCTCACAGCCAGGTACGTCGACCTAAAATACGCAACTTCAGCTATGCTATTCGCGTATCTGAAGTTGCGTATCTTAGGTCGCCCTCCCCCCCGTAGTGTAGACCTAGCCTCAGTGACACGACTTGGAACAGATCCCAGGAGCCCAACGTCCAGCCTCTGGCTGTAATCACTAGACATGACTGCCTCTCAGAGCTGAGAAGAGGGAACCCAGGAGTCCTGTCTCCCAGCCTCCTGCTATAGACACTAGACCACGCAACTCATGCAGAAAAACAGGGCAGGAACAGATTGTAGCGAGCGGGAAAGCGCAGAGTTGCTGAAGGTGAAGTAATGAAGGATGGGAAGGCTGAGTTTCTGGGCAGCCTGGGGTCCTTAACTGCAGGCACGAGGCCAGCCGAAGCGAGTTTGGCAGCCGTCTGATCACCCAGCTGGGAAGAGAAAGATGGGGGCAAACGGGGACTGGAAACAGACCCCAGGATATGGGTGAAGTGGAGGAGAGGACAGTGTCTGTCTACTCAGTTCGGCGTCTTCCCTCCTGGACATCACAGGGACATTGTTCTCAGCCGGCTCCCTCCACAACCTGTCAGTTCTACTGAGTTTATGGGATATTGTGGGAGTTTGGTGATGCCTCTGCCTAACGAGCCCTGTCCCTGCCTGAATGCTAAATGAGCTAATGGCCAGGGTTTGATTACATATGCAGGCCCGGGGGTTACTGGAGCCGGAGTGGCGAGGGCATTAATTCTGGCAGCTCATGTGTCGTTTACACTCACTCCACTCTATTAAAGATCTAATTTCCTTCTCTCTCCCGGTTGAGGAAGCGGGGGAGGAGAAGGTAGAAGGGAAGGAAACGGGTTTCAGAGAAACACAAACTAGCTCTGAAGTTAATCTGGCTGGGGGCATGCAGGTGAGGATGAGAAAGGTGCTCTGGGACTGGCTGAATCAGCCGATGCCTTTCTGCCCAATGATGCCTTGCAAGAGTGAGTGTGTGTGTGTGTGTGTATGTGTGTGTATGTGTGTGTGTGTGAGAGAGAGAGAGAGACACACACACACACACCCTGGCAGCACCAGGGAAGCCTGCTTGGTTGGAAGCAACAGCCCCAACATGTGAACACCCGGGCATGGGCTGCCTGGAACGAATGTTTTATTCATTTCAAACAACTGGAGAATGGCTGATGAATGCTGCTGGGAAAACCTCCTTTGGAAACACTTAAGAAACACAATGTTATTACAGAGAAAAACAATGCCATTATCTTTATGTCTCAGTTTTTATCACAAACATTACTATAATCAGCCAGGCCTGGAAATATTACATTTGCACCACAAATATAATTTGGAAGGGGGGAAGGAAGGGGAAAAAAGTGTTTTATTTTGCAATTGGGCTGGACGCTAAAGGAGAAAATTGGATGTATTACAGTATTTAAATTCAGCCCCTAGCCCTGAATGATAAAGAAAGAAATCTCTCCTCTTAGAAGGTGTATTGACTCAACAGTGGAAAGGAGATAACGTTTCAGAGTCATTTGAAAGATTTTTTTATTTTATTTTTTTTAAAAGCTATTTCAAGTTGGGGGAAATTGAGTTTTGGGTAATAGCTGCTCTGCTGGAGAAAACATATCTGGGTGACTGATGCACCTCTGCTGCAAATTCTAATGGGAGAGATGAGGAAGGACGACAAGACAGAGGGAATGAGTGACAAAGGACCAGGGGGGAAGGCTACAGAAGAGAAAACAAAAAGGGAAGAGAGACCAGTGAAGAAGAGAGAGAAAGTGAGAAAGACACAGAGGAGGGAAAGAAGTGAAAGAGGGAAATCTAGGCGGAGTGAGAGGATAAGGAGAAGAGAGATGGGCAGGGAAAGGGAAACGCTAGGAGGCGATATGCCAGGCTGAACTAAAGTGGCACTGAAAGGAGTGAGATGCAGATGTTCAGGGGGTTTGCTGCTGGCGTCTGAGGGCGGATTTTGGTAAGCTCAGAGAGCTGATAGATAAGGTCTCATGGGAATCAAAACTGAGGGGAAAAACAACTGAAGAGAGTTGGCAGTTTTTCAAAGGGACACTATTAAGGGCCCAAAAGCAAGCTATTCCGCTGGGTAGGAAAGATAGAAAATGTGGCAAAAGACCACCTTGGCTTAACCACGAGATCTTGCATGATCTAAAAAATAAAAAGGAGTCATATAAACAATGGAAACTAGGACAGATTACAAAGGATGAATATAGGCAAACAACACAGGAATGCAGGGGCAAGATTAGAAAGGCAAAGGCACAAAATGAGCTCAAACTAGCTACAGGAACAAGAAGACTTTTTATCAATACATTAGAAGCAAGAGGAAGACCAAGGGTAGGCCCACTGCTCAGTGAAGAGGGAGAAACAGTAACAGGAAACTTGGAAATGGCAGAGATGCTTAATGACTTCTTTGTTTCGGTCTTCACCGAGAAGTCTGAAGGAATGCCTAACCTAGTGAATGCTAATGGGAAGGGGGTAGGGTTTAGAAGATAAAATAAAAAAAGAACAAGTTAAAAATCACTTAGAAAAGTTAGATGCCTGCAAGTCACCAGGGCCTGATGAAATGCATCCTAGAATACTCAAGGAGCTAATAGAGGAGGTATCTGAGCCTCTAAGCTATTATCTTTGGAAAATCACGGGAGACAGGAGAGATTCCAGAAGACTGGAAAAGGGCAAATATAGTGCCCATCTATAAAAAGGGAAATAAAAACAACCCAGGAAACTACAGACCAGTTAGTTTAACTTCTGTGCCAGGGAAGATAATGGAGCAAGTAATTAAGGAAATCATCTGCAAACACTTGGAAGGTGGTAAGGTGATAGGGAATAGCCGCATGGATTTGTAAAGAACAAATCATGTCAAACCAATCTGATAACTTTCTTTGATAGGATAACAAGTCTTGTGGATAAGGGAGAAGCGGTGGATGTGGTATACCTAGACTTTAGTAAGGCATTTGATACGGTCTCGCATGATATTCTTATCAATAAACTAGGCAAATACAACTCAGATGGGGCTACTATAAGGTGGGTGCATAACTGGCTGGATAACCATACTCAGAGAGTAGTTATTAATGGTTCCCAATCCTGCTGGAAAGGTATAACAAGTGGGGTTCCGTAGGGGTCTGTTTTGGGACTGGCTCTGTTCAATATCTTCATCAACGACTTTGATATTGGCATAGAAAGTACGCTTATTAAGTTTGCAGATGATTCCAAATTGGGAGGGATTGCAACTGCTTTGGAGGATAGGGTCATAATTCAAAATGATCTGGACAAATTGGAGAAATGGTCTGAGGTAAACAGGATGAAGTTTAACAAAGACAAATGCAAAGTGCTCCACTTAGGAAGGAACAATCAGTTTCACACATACAGAATGGGAAGAGACTGTCTAGGAAGGAGTACGGCAGAAAGGGATCTAGGGGTTATAGTGGACCACAAGCTAAATATGAGTCAACAGTGTGATGCTGCTGCAAAAAAAGCAAACATGATTCTGGGATGTATTAACAGGCGTGTTGTGAGCAAGACACGAGAAGTCATTCTTCTGCTCTACTCTGCGCTGGTTAGGCCTCAGCTGGAGTACTGTGTCCAGTTCTGGGCACTGCATTTCAAGAAAGATGTGGAGAAATTGGAGAGGGTCCAGAGAAGAGCAACAAGAATGATTAAAGGTCTAGAGTACATGACCTATGAAGGAATGCTGAAAGAATTGGGTTTGTTTAGTTTGGAAAAGAGAAGACTGAGAGGAGACATGATAGCAGTTTTCAGGTATCTAAAAGCGTGTCATAAGGAGGAAGGAGAAAACTTGTTCACCTTAGCCTCTAAGGATAGAACAAGAAGCAATGGGCTTAAACTGCAGCAAGGGAGGTTTAGGTTGGACATTAGGAAAAAGTTCCTAACTGTCAGGGTGGTTAAACACTGGAATAAATTGCCTAGGGAGGTTGTGGAATCTCCATCGCTGGAGATATTTAAGAGTAGGTTAGATAAATGTCTATCCGGGATGGTCTAGACAGTATTTGGTCCTGCCATGAGGGCAGGGGACTGGACTCAATGACCTCTCGAGGTCCCTTCCAGTCCTAGAATCTATAAGTTTGCTTAAGTGTCTGGAGGATTTGTCCTCTTCAGTACCAGGACCCTCTTCAACTGGGCAGGAAAGGCCACATTAAAGGGGAAAGGCTCCAATGCTCCAACCCCATGCTCACTGGAGAAAGAATGCATGGAAAGGGAGCCACAATGTTGGTTTCTGCCCTTCCCATTCCAGGCTGGGACGCCAGATTCCTGGCTGCATCGCTCCCTCCGCTGCGGCTCTGCGTTGGCTTTGTAGCCTTGGGGGCGCCCAGGTTAATGACGCCAAATTTGACCAAGGGCCTTTGATCACTGGAGTGGCAGCTCACATTTCCAGGGGTGGCTGATGGCAGCTGACGCAGCTGCCCTGCGCAGAGGGAGGCAGAGAACCCCTGAGCGGAGAAGAAAAGGAAGGGGAAGAAAAACCAGCAAGAAAAGAGAGAGACAAAGGAAGGAAATGAAAAGGGGAGAAAGCTGCTGCCTGAGAGGAGTGAATGCGAGAACATGGTGGGCAGGGAACAAGATGAGCGGAGGGAAGACAGAGGTAAATGCGATTCCATGGTGATGCCTTGAGACAACTAGGGGAAGGTGAAGTTTCAGAGGGTCAATTGCAGGCCTAGGCACAGCAGTTCCCCCCGCACCCCTGCATAAAACCTTTCAAGTGCTGCAGAGCGGAGGTGAGCTGCAATAGCGGAGGAGGAACTGCAGCACCGCTGACCCCAGGGATGAAAGGAGGCGAAGGCACCCATTTCCCAGTGCAGCAGAAAGGTTCAGGGGAACGAGAGACAGATCCCTCAGTGGCTTTTGACGTTCCTCTGCTCTGTCCCTGCCTCCTGGCCGTGACCCTGTTTCTCTGTGCTCGGACCGGGAGCAGCCCTGCCATAAGGAATAAGTCAAAAGGGATGAAAGAATCGGGGTTTGGGAGGGCAGCAGCGTGGCAGCCAGAGCCTGGCTCCAGGAGATCAGTCTAGCAAAGGTCAATGCTGTCTGTTCTTCCTCTCCGCACTGACCCTGGCGCTGCTAGAACAGCCATCAGAGACAACGCGATGGGGATGGAAGAGCGGGTGGCCTCAGCTATCCCCATGTCTCTTCTATACCTCTGCTGTTTGCTAGTCTACATTCGCTGCGTGCTCTGCCCGCCGCAAGACCGTGCTGAGGGTCCCAGTTGGAATCTGTTTCCCTAGGCGTGGGAGCACTTCAGACCCTGCGTCCTCGGTGCCGGGGGAGCTGGGCCAGGCCAGGCCAGTGCGCTGGGTCTGCAGTGGGGATGATCGCTCTGGACAAAGCAGGGCCTGGCCCCTCCAAGCTGGAAGGATGGCTCGAGGGGAGCGTAGGCGGAGATTATCGTCAGGGCTCTGGGGACCGCTGGCCTCCCGGTGAGCACATGCCTCACTCCAGGGCTATGCCAGGAGAAGATTTGGGGACTTTTAGATCAACACCAGTTGATCCTGTGTGAGACAGGATCTGACTCTCTCTTCCCATCTCAGCGCCCTACGTTTGCTGCTCCCTTCCGCCTCGACCGCTCCAGCCTCTGGTTTTCTTGTCAGCTGACACTACAGTTTCCATCCCACTGCACTCGCAGCCTGAGAACTTCCTGGCCTTGGTCTCTCAGTTCCATGTGGCTGGTGCACTGAGGTCTCCGGCGGGAGGAGCCGTTTTGAACTCCAGCAGGGCCACAGTGCCATCTCCTTCCAACCTCACCGGCTCCCATGCTGCTGCCAGATTTGCTCAGCCCTCTGGCCAATTCTCCGCTGATCTCATAGGCAGCATGGAAAGGTGATCAATACCCCTCTGGCTCCAGCCTTTCCTCCGGGTAAACTTTACACAAGTACTCACAACCACACCCCGGGCATCGGCAGGCCTTACAGACCCCGCTGATGGACACTGCCCTGTGCCCTGCCCAGAAGTCTACACCACACCTCCAGCACGGCACAAGCTGGACCAGGTTCGAGAGTCCCTTTATCAGCAGGGTGGTTTGAGGAGGTGGCAGTCCTTAGCTGTATTGGGGATGGAGCATATGTAGTATAGGCCTTTGGGAGGTGTAATGAGTTGGTTGTCTGCTGCATTGGGTGGGAGGATGTTCTCTTCAGGGGAGAACTGGGAGTTCTCTGGTTGAGATGACTGGGGGGTGTTATGCATTGGGAATGTTCTGCTTGGCTGTATTAAGGTGGGAGGTTCTCTGGGGTACAGGACTGGGGGTGTGGTGAGCTGAGGGTTCTCGGGGGCACTGGGGTAAGGAGGCTGTCTTTAGGGGGAATCAGGCGTTCAGTGCTAGACTGGGGAAATTGCTTCTCTGCGTAACGAGGTTGGGAGACATGATGAGCTGCAGAGAGAGGAAAGAGTTCCTCCAATTCTGGGCCTGGGGGAGTGAGACGACTTCCAAAGGGGAGGGGTGGGGAAGGGCGAGAGCCTCTCACCTGCACCCTTGGTCGTGACCAGTTTGGGTTTGCTGCGGGCGCCGTCCCCTTTCATGGTGTAAGCCGCCACCGTGATGGAGTACGAGGTCTCGGGCTGGAGCCCAGCAATGATCATTTCCTGTTTGCAAGATGAGAGAGAGAGAGATTTTTGGTTTTGTTTTTTTTAAAACAAACGCTTGTTTCCTTGCAAGAGCCTCAGCCCTGTCCAGCATGCAGGAACGTTCACTGACACTGAAAACACAAGGCAGTTCTAGGAAAACATGGAGATGGGGGGGGCGGGGCGCAGTCTTTTGCTATGAAACACAACCACCCCAGCTATGAACAGACCCGGCGTCCGCAGGGACCAGGATGAAACGCACGCTCTCTCGAATCCACCTCAAACGCAGCCCCTATCTGAACGCCAACCGGTTGAACCATCAAAACACGGCCGTGCTCTTCAAAGCTTCCCGCTCTCCCACACTGTCTCAGAGGAGGGCTCCGTGGCTTCAAGGAGATTAACCCCCCTCCTCCGCACCCGCCAGTGAGAGACTTTTAAAAAAAAAAATTGCCGTCTGTAATATTAAAGGGATTGCTTTAATGCGAACTGCAAGGCAACATTTGCTGCCTGCATGGTAGGGTGGAGTGTTACTTTACACACACACACACACACACACACAATTCTCTATCACTCTCATCACACCTGGCTCCTAAAGAGCTTTTGTTATGAAGCAGGACTCTAGCCTGGCCCTTGGCAGTGAGGTATTCATTCTGCCCTTCAAACACTGTTCTAACAATAACACACATGTTAAACCAAGCAGGATGGGGGCATGCACAGCAGGGTTTTCCCCGGAGCCCTGGGTGGGAGGGTGAAGGGAACCTTGCATTTGTTTGATCTCTCCTCCCTCTACAAAGTCTAGGCCCCAGGCTAGCACTTGGGAAAAAGGTTACTGCTCCTGAGAACATCTGTCCTGCCCAAAGTGGGGCAGGCAGTGAGAGAGTGGACCTTAAAAACAACATGCTGCCAAGGAGGAGGGATGGTCCAGTGGTTAGGACCCTAGCCTCAGACTTACAAGAGTGGCCTTCAATTCCCTGCTCTGTCATAAACTTTCTGTGTGACCCTGGGCAAGTCACTTAGGCTGCGACAATCAAAGACCCGCAGCCTGGCTGCAGCTGACTTGGGCTTGTGGGGCTCGGGCTGCAGGGCTAAACACTGCAGTGTAGATGTTTGGGCTGGAGCCCCAGTGATGGGTCTCAGTGCCCGGGCTGCAGCCTGAGCCTGAACATCTATACGGCAATTTTTATCCCCGCAGCCCGAGCCCCAGTCAAGTTGACCTGGGCTCTGATATGCAGAGCCACAGGTTTTTTATTGCAGTGTAGAGATACCTCTAGGGTCTGTGTTCCCTGCAGCTGGGAGCGTGCTTCTGGGGTCAGGGAGACAGACACACAGTAGCTCTGCTTGAGCGCTCGTGCTAAAAATAGCGATGGAGCCAGGGTTAGCTTGGGCTAGCTGTCCCAATACAATCCTGCCCGGACCCCTGGGGGGGGGGGGGGCATTCTTAGGAGGCGAGCCCACGCTACTCCTAGCTACACTGCTATCTTCAGCATGCTAACTCGAGCACAGCTAGCATGTCTGTCTGTTCATGCTGGGAAGCACCCTCCCAGCTGTAATGTAGACATCCCCTTAGCCTTGCTGGGGATGTCTACACTACAGTTAAAAAACCTGTGGCTGGGCTCACGGGGCTCAGGCTAAGGGGTTTGCAGTGTAGATGTTCGGGCTGCGGTGCAGCCCAAGCTCTGGGACCCTCCCACCTCACAGAGCCCTAGAGCCCGGGCCCAAACGTCTACACCACGATTACACAGCCCCTTAGCCCCAGCACGAGCCAGCCATGGGTTTTTTAATTGCAGTGTAGACACACCCTCTGTTCCCCATCTGTACAAGGAGGCTCAGAGCACTGCCCTGCCTCACAGGAGCATCATTCTTAGCAGGAAATCAAAATCTCGGCCTAAGTATTTTTATTCTATCAGCCTAAGCCTCAGTACCCGCTAGCCCAAGGGAGGAATGCTTTCCTCCATTGCTTTGTGGCTACCGTCCAGGGCCGCTCAGAGGGGGGGGGGGCAAGTGGGGTAATTTGCCCCAGGCCCCACAGGGGCCCCCATGAGAGTTTTTCGGGGCCCCTGGAGTGGGGTCCTTCACTCGCTCCGGGGGACCCGAAAAGCTCTCGTGGGGCCCGGGGCCCCGGAGCTTCTTCCGCTCCGGGTCTTCGGCGGCAATTCGGCGGCGGGGGGTCCCTCCGCTCTGGGACCCGCCACCGAAGTGCCCTGAAGACCCGCGGCAGGGGGTCCTTCCGCCCCAGGACCTGCCGCCGAAGACCCGGCACTTCGGCGGTGGGGGCCCCCCGCCACCGAAGACCCCAGGCCCCCTGAATCCTCTGGGCGGCCCTGCTACCGTCGTCCTTGAAATCATGTCGGCATTCAAATGGAAGAAGTAAACACTGCAGCTGGGACCCAGAAACACAGACTCGCAGTAGCACTGCTTGAACTAGTGCGCTAAAAATAGCTGTCAGCTGCAGTGTAGACACACCCTGGAACCACAAAGTTGATTTTAAGGTCCAGCCCCTTGTGAGTTGCTAGGGCTAGCAGGGAGCGCTTTGTACCAGTGACTAGCTGGGAACCTCGGCTTTCTAATGGCATCAAGTGTTCACAGTCAAGCCCTGATGGTTTAGAAGCTACTGTCGGAGAAAAACAGAGTTCTTACTATTTTGGTTGTCAGCCAGGTCTTAGCTGCTTCCACACTACTGAGCTCTTACTTCTCTAACCCAGCAATGTTTTTTCAGCAGTGGTCCCGGTCTCTGATATAGTCACAGACCTTGCTCCCACCAGCCCGTCTTTACATATGCAGCTTAGTTAGTCTGGTCCCACTTTGCTGTCTGGATTGCTTCCACTATCGAGAAGCAGCTGACTCGACCTTCCCTAAGAGCTCGGGGGAAAACCCTGCGGTATGTGCTGACTAAAGGAGCAATCAGGATGGCATTGCGAAGTGTACAGGGTGGGGCGCGGAACAATGCATAGAAACACTGTAACAGGCTTGAAAATAGACAAACTAGCACTGAAAAAAAATAAATAAAGAAGAGACAAAATGTCACACCACAAATGAAGAGGGTGGAAGGGAAAGGACAGAACCCGGACCAGGCAGGAAGCATTTTACTTACATATTCAGCAGTGTCATCTGTTTCCCACTGAGCAGAGAACAAGAGAGGATTTGCAAGTGAGAACACAAGAGGGAGAAGAGGGGAGAGAGAGACACACACAGCGTGAGGAAGAAGTCCCCGGGCAAGTGGCAACTGGAGGTCAGAGGTTACCAGGCCAAGGTGAAGGAAGAAGTAGAATGGGAGAGGTTAGTAGATTTTGTAGTGACCTCGGCTTGATTTAAAGGAACGGGGCCCCGCCCTGGGGCCTCCCAGAAACGAGAAGGATGGAGCCTACTTATCCCAGAGTTGGAGAATGGCTCATGGTCGTCCTCAACAGCTACAGTCTGGGAGCGTGAATTAACTGAATATGACAAGGGACTTGTTTGTCGGAGAGATGCTGTGCCACTTACCAGTATTTTGGGTCACTTGGGGCTATAACCCAAACAGATGGCCCTCCCCACAAGCCGCCATGGGAGAGGAAGGGGGCAGAAAGTCCTCACCTGGGCATCAGCCAGCATGACATCCTTGATCTGGGGCAACCCCTTGGCCTCTCCGTTCTCCATGCGCACATAGTGGACCTGATAGCCACGGATCTGCCCGTGCTGGCGGTTCTGGACTGGAGAGCGCCAGAACACTTGGATGGCCGTTGAGTTCAGAACCTCCACCTCTACTTTACGAGGTGGGGCGCTGGGCACTGCGGGGAAGGGAGAGAAAAGAGGGTACAGGCGTTAAGACTTAGCGCTGGACGCTTATCCAGGTTGCGTGGGGCAGGCACGTACTGCATCTAGAGCCTTGCAAGTGGGCTGAGAGTCAGCCAGACTTGTGGAAGGCCACCACATCTGCCATCGGCTATCGCACGCTGTCATGGGCAGCGTCTGGACGGCCGCAGCATAGCTCGCCAATCTGGATGCACGAAGGTGAGCTCGTGTCTTCTCTCTCTGCTCAATCTTCCTTCCATGAGCCCCTTCCTCAGAGCTGCCTGCCTAGAAGGAGCTGTATAATTCTGGATCAAATCCACTGGCAGACCTGATTTCTGAGGAGCTAGCCAAGGAAAGCTCTGGCTGTGCTTGAGGGACACTGGGACAATGCTTGCAAGGAAGATGGGACTGAACCCCAGCTCTTTCAAGCCCTTGCCTCTCAGGCATTTAAATGCATCTGGTACTCAGCAGCAGCGGTCTGATCTTAGGGCATGAAATGGGAAGAGATGCCGTGGAAAGGAATTGGGATGGAAAGGGATTTGGAGCAAACAGTGTATGGGACCTTGGCCAGGACAACACTGCAGCTCTGTCTCCCAAAGGCGCTGGAACAGGGTGGGCCGGGGGCCATGGCCCTCCCACTTTTTACCGGCCATAAGGGGGAGCGATCAGGGGAGGGACGGAGAGGAGCAAGCGGGGGGGGGGGGGGAGGGGGGTTGGGGGGAAGGGGGGGGGGGGGGCAGGGCCTTGGGGCAACGTAGGGTGACCAGACAGCAAGTGTGAAAAATTGGAACGGGGGTGGGGGTAATAGGAGCCTATATAAGAAAAAGACCCAAAAATTGGGACTGTCCCTATAAAATCAGGACATCTGGTCACCCTAGAGCAATGGGTGGCTGGAGGGAGGGGCCTCAGGAAGAATGGCTGGTGCGGGGGTGAGGCCTCGCGGGACGGGGCAGGGCCACGGTTTGGGCACCTGTAGCCCCCGCACTTTTAGGGTGCTCCTGCTGTCTCCTATTACTCTGAGCAAGGTATTACCTCCAGTAGTGGGTATCGTGTTAGGATACAGGCAGAGGGACGGGCAAATGGGAGAGCTGTTAAAGGTGACCTGCAACGGAAAAGAAAATTGGACTTGGGTCCTTTTTGGCTTGTTTGTGATGGAGGAAGACAGCCCAGAAAGGTTTTTTGTTTGTTTTTTAAATTGTTTCCCCTTTTTCGCTTGCTTTATCTTACCCAAGAAATATCAGTTAAATCAAGTCTTCCCTGTTCTTGCTTGAGGTCTCCTTAGGAGAACCAGAGAACTGGAACAAGAGCTCTCTTAGTTCTTACATGAAGGGGCTGGGTTGTTAACCCTTTAACAAAGAGATCCCTTCTCCTGTTTCTCAGGTTTTTGAGTTAAATATGCCTTAACGACAAAGATGGGAAGGGAGGAACCCTCACATATTTTTAAATAATTCTGGCTACAAATCCTGTCCCCTCTCAACGGCTCAGATTCTACATCCTTGATAGCTGGGAGGTCATAATCTAACTAACTCTCCAGCCTGCCACAGAATTTCCTGGGAAAAGCAGTGTGGACAAGACTTGAATGCCTGGATGTTAAAAAAAAAAAAAAAAAAAACCAGCAGGAAGAAAAAAAAAACATAGAGGGGCCTGGTTCCCAGAGGAGCTGATGTCCATCGCACCTGCAGGTTTTTAGGAAGATGGGTGAGGAAATCTGGGGTGTGGGGCGAGGGGGGCAACCTTCAGGCTTTCTTCTGGCATCAAAAAGCGGCAACAAAAGGGACCCAAAAATCCAATGTCTTTTCCTTTGCAGGGAAGTCTCCTCAGCCATGTATTTGTGGCGGGCTCGGGAGGAAAGGAAACCGAAAGGAGATGGAATTACCATCTTCGTCTGTTCGGACGACGACTGGCGAGCTCTCCGGGCCTGGCCCCACCTCCGTGTGCGCCACCACGGTGATGCGATATTCTGTCCACTTTTCCAGCTGTTCCAGGAGGATCTGATTGGTGGTTGGGGGGATATCATTCACCTCCTTAAGTTCCGTGTCCTCAGAGTCCAGCGCTCGATAGCGGACGCTGTATCCAGCCAGGACACCGTTTTGGCTCTCGGCCGGCGGAGGCCGCCAACTTACCAGAATGGCAGTGGATCTGGTGCTGACGCATTTTATGTCTTGAGGGGGGGCAGACGGTTCTATGATGGGGGAAAATTCAGGGGGGAAGGGAAGAAGGGGAAAAAACAAAAGATGGGAAAGATAAAAAAAAAGAAAATGATAACAAAAAAATCTAAAATAAAACATACAAAAAATTTGGTTTAGGAAGATAAATTAAAAAAGAAGAGAGGGGGTTGGTTTTTTTTAAAATAAAAAATAAAGGCAAGAGAAATGAAACGGGGGCATCGGAACATAAATGTTACAAAGCAAAGGAATAAAACACAGAGCAGGCTAGCCCAACGCGTCCTTCATTTTCAGCTACGGGTGACTGGACCACAACTGAGCAACCAGCCCTTCCTTCCTGGGACGGGCAGTTTTTAGCTCCTGTTTTTAAAGCAGCCTTGCAAACTTCGGTACAACCAAAGGCAAGTCATGTTCCCGATGAACTGGCAAAGCTGCATTAAGCCAAAGTTTTAAACTAGGCTTAACACCAAGATTTGCAAAAGGGACTAACCAGGGACCTGATTTTCAAAGGTATTTAGGTGTCTAAAGATGCAGAACTCTCATTGGAGTGAGGTGCCTAAGCCACTTAGGTGCGTTCGAAAATCTCATTCGGCACTTATCTGCATCTTTAGGTGCCTAAATACCTTTGAAAATCTGACCCTAGGTGATCTTGGACGCTTTGATCACCAGAGGGCGGGTGATTGGCACTTTCTGAAAAGCAGAAATGTGTCTCAGGTTGGGGACCTAAACTCAGTCTCCATTTTGGAAAATCTTGGCTCCAAGTCCATGGTTAAGCACCTAAATTCGACAATGTTGGCCTTAAGTTCCCCATCCCCATGTGGGATGTCCGTCAGGATGAATACATAAATGCTGACCACCATTTAAAGGTTTTTTAAAGATTATTCCTGGGCCAAATCCTACAGTCCTTACACAAAGTCCCACTGAAATAAATCAGGGTTTTAGCTGAGCATAAAGGGCTCAACTGTGGTCTGACAGTGGGGAAATCAGGGCTAAATTCACTGACGTCAATGGAGTTACACTGGTCTATAATGAGTATGACCGAAGGGAGACTCTGTCCCCAGGACTACAGGGTTGGAATCCCTTTACGTTTGTATTACTGACACTCTGCTGGGGTGTTTAACAATCTCCCCGTCTGCTTTAAAAAATCTAACCGACTTTTCATCACTTGTGCTGTGCCTTCCCTTTACTCTGCTTGGCCAGTGAAAATAGATTCATCACTTTCACTTCTGTTTACATAGTCAGTTTCCCTTTCTGGCTTTCATGCACTGTTGTGTTTGGGTTGCAAACTTCACATTATATGGGATGTTTTTTAAAACAAACAAACAAACTGATTTTCACTGATGTCTTTATTAATTGAACACAAACTCTTCTATTAAGATTAGTTTTGTCAGATCTTTTCTCTCTCCCTGCACCCAAAACCTTAAGTTTTGGGCCTAAACTGCCTTCACAAGGCTCCTTTAACAAAACAATTAAAGCTTTCCCCAATTTGCTCCTTCCCATCAAGAAAAGGAGATTTCTGTGCAGTGACCAGGCAAAGTTCTGCTCCCTGGGGTTATGATCTCCAGCAGCTGGCTAGCCACGCCAAATAATAGAAAACATGTCAAACAAACAACCAAAGAAACAAACTTGAAACAAAAAATAAATCAATCCATTAATTTCAAAATGAAAGATCTCTCAAAAAGGAAATCATAATAATAAAATAATATCGATATATAAAGCAAATCCTTCCAGAACGTTCCCAGTCTGTTTACCTACCTTCCAAACTTCAACTGCTAACTTATAAGACTTTCTTACGTGAGAACAAGAGAAACTGAGCTACGAGGCCAGACCAAGCTCCTGGTGGGTTTCTGAAAACGATTTGCTTTTAGGATACTGCCCTTCCCCGACAACTACTAGCTCCTCTATGCTGGCTAGTCTCCCCCTCTCCTGGCTACCTAGCTATTGCAGTAATGACAGACGACCAGTCTCTGATCTATCCTATTTCTGACAGATACCAGCACCCAGACTGGCGACAGTGTGGCCAGATTCCCTGGAACAGACAATTTTCTCCACCTGGCCTGACCATAAAGGATGATTAAGCAAAACAGGCCGGTGTGCTGTCCCCTTCTGCAACTTAGAGGCATCTACGCCTTTTTCATACTGAGCTGGAAGATGAAACAGCCCCAAGGTGCCTCCAGCTACCTGTCCTCGGCACCCAACGCTCAGCACCGCGGGTGGGGTCAAAAACTGCTTCCACTCCTCCGAACCCAGCTGAAGCCACAAGGGCTGCGAAACCCACTGCGGAGAGGGTCTGACCTGACCTACCCTTTCCATCCTGAGCCTAAGGCTCCTGACACTCATAATGAAAGCCCCAGTAGGCAGAGCACGGAGCTCCGGCCTGCGCTTGGGAGCGCTGTTTCCATCAGCGGCGGCTGAGCCTGGCACTTTCTCACTCACCCTCTAAGCTCCAGCATGAGGACCTGCCGCATGTCCCCGGAGCGAGACCTCCTTTCGGGATCATTTGTAGCACTTTCTCTGGTTAAAAGGGAGGCGGGGAGGGGGGCACCTGTGCCCCACACCGCTCTCAACTGACCACAACGCCTGGATGAAAACACCCACCAAGTGCTGGTCATGTTGGAGAGACACTCTTGGGAATTCATGGCACAGTGAGTTTCCTTCACAATCCAGCCCAACCTGCACGGAACTGGCGGGGGTGTGGGTGTGGGTGTGCACGTGCGTAACAGGTGACATGCTTCACTTAGCCCAGGGAGCTGTGTGCAGTAGACAATGAAGCTCTGCAGATCCCACGCTGCGGATCTGGGCTCCACCTCTCCACCAAATGCCTTGGCTACACAGGGGACTGCCATACAGCAAAGAGCTCACCGCGAAGCATGTAACTTTCTGTGCGCACACATCTCTCTTTTCACCAAGCAGACAGCTTTTTGAGACCCCCCCCCTTCCCACCCATTCCTCCCACAGGGGCTGCAGGATACCCAGGGTGCGTAGGAGACTGCGCAGTGACAGGGTGGACTGTATTTGTGAATCAGCTTGAGACCAGCCAGTACTCACCTGAGCTGCATCTTTTACAGGCTTTAAGTTGACTGTCCAAGCCACAAGAATGACCCTTACTGACCTCGTACAATACAATGCGTTTAACCCTTTAGGTACCATAGACTTTAGATCATTGTAATTTCACTCAGAGCCTATTTGGGGTGGAGAGAAGGATCAGAGCAACTGGGTGGGGGAACATCCCTCTTAGGAAGGAGCAGAGGTGAAAATCCCTCTGGTTCCTTTATAACCCATCCCACACACCACCCCCCCCCCCCTTCGCTCCTGTCGGGTGACACCTGCTTCCTACACCAGGAGAAATTTTTGAATGAGAAGGGTATTAAGAAACTCTAAGGGCTTCACAGCTAGGTTAGAAAAGGCGACATTGCCTTAGGCCTCCAAGCATTTGATTCATTATTTTCCAATCTACGTCTCTGGTACTTGAAGAGTTAAAACCCAGCTACTTCAAGAAGAAAAAGATACTTTACCTTTAGTTTAATGGATTTTACTTTGGTTATGATGCTCGGGAGAGCCACCCTGACAAGAGATGTGGAGGGGGCTGTGCAGGGGGTGCATGCAGGGAGGGGCTGCGAGCCAGGCATGCATGTGTGTGACAGCTGAGACTGGTGGAGAAAAAAACCACACAGAACACCACAGCAGGTGGCTGGGGTGGGGAAAGCTTTGGTGTTGCAGAGACGAGGTGGGAAACTGCCCAGGCAGTAAGAGAGACAGACAGTGCGGGGAGCTGGCTTCACTGGGTTGTGAGGGCATGCAGAGAGACAGGCAGGCAGGCAGGCAGATGGATGGGGAGAAAAAGAGAGCCAGGGAGCAGGCCAGGAAGGAGCTGAACGGAAAAGGGGCTGCAGAGGAAAGACACAAAAGCCTGCCCGAGCCAGAAGGTCTGTGAGCCGAGGATGCCACCCGGACCGGGGAGAATTGACTCGTTCGTCCAGCAGCCGGCCAGGAAAAAACGTTTCACCACGTTACAAAACGTTGACCGCTCCCCAGCTGAGGTTCTTAAGAGCGTTAAATTCGGGAAACTGACGGCTATCCCTCTACAGCTGAGCTGCAGACCAATGGAACAAACCACGCCTTCTCCTGGGCAAGTGCCAGGATAGAAAGATACCCAAAGAAGCCCCCCACCTCCCATCTCCTCTTTTTTTTTTTTTTTTGGAAAACCTCCAGCGTCGCTAGGCCCTAGAGCCATTTCCCACCCCGTGATGCCCACCCCTCTGGACTGCTTGTATCCAACCAGAAAGCCCAGTTCCCAAATCCTCCCCCGCCCCCAGCCCCGTGACTCCCAGAACGGAAAGCTCTAGTAAAACAGAAGCAGAGTGTGGGAAAGTTTTGACACCTATTCTTGATCCTTTCGATTCATTCTTTTTATTTCTTGGTGCTGATCAAGGACATCTGGTTCCGTCTACTGGTACCGCACTGGGTCAGAACTGGAACCAGCGGTGTTTCAGCAAAGCCAGGAAACAATTTTCTTTTTATATAGATACCGACTTTTATAAAAAAAAAAAAAAAAAAAAACATTTCAAGGAAGGAAGCAAACAAACAAACAAGCAAATCTCTGAATGGACGGGAGGCTTGAGAAAGCCCCGGTAAGAAATTCTGTCTGAAGTAGAAACAGAAATTCCCCTTTCTTCTCGCTCCTGGGCAAGAGAGGGAAGGGGAGCTGACAATTAAAATGGAAAGACGAGGCGGGCCGCCCAGCTGAGAGGCTGCTGCTCCCACTTGTTAAGGGTTGTGAGCGATGGGAGCTCGCTTGCGCTCTCACGCGCTGACCAGAGCCATTTCTGAGCTAGTTCTGCTCGCGGCTACTCCAAACTGCGGCCGAGGGATTTAGTAGAGATGAGAGGAGACAGAAAACACAAAGAACAGCTGCCACAGCCACTCATGCAGTGAAAAAACACCTCATTTAAAAGCAAAGATCTGTGAAAAGCCCAGGTTGAAATATTGCCATCCAGGGCTGGTCGTCCCCAGGGCAACAGAGAAGGGAGACAATCCATTAAACTAAAACCAGCACATTTGGGTTACATACACTCCATCCTGGTGTCGTTAACCCCCCCGCCCCATTCCCCCTCTCTCCAGTTCTGCCCAAGCCCCAATGGCCTGTCTCCGCAGGCTATGAAGTCGCTTATGAACAATGAGGTGGGGGCTGCTTTCCCTCAGACCGATGACAATGTTAGTTTTATTAATCACCATCTACCCCCCGGCTCACAAACCTCTTGCAGAGAGCTCTCTTAAACCCCTCCTGTGTCCCTCCCCAGGAGCTCCGGCTCAGTTTCTGCTGGTTAACGACCCATAGCTTCAAAGGTGGAGGCGGGAAGCCATCCTCACTGAGCATGCTCAGCACGAAGGGCCGATGGGGACGGTGTCAAGCTCGTTAAGCCGTCCAGCTCGTTAAACCGCTCCTCTCGGACGGGTGGTGCTAACTCATGCCCTGGCCCCCGGCCCACCCAAATCTTGGCTATCTAGATCAGGGAGTGGGGAGGCGGTGGGGTCCACAAGTACCAGGACAACCGCTTCCCCACAGAGTACCCCAGCCGCGCAATCCTCTCCTGTGAGGACGGTGCCGTGAACTCCCCATGGTTCCATACCCCTGTACCCACCATCTGTGGCTCCCTGACTGTCTTTCCCTCAGACAAGGCTGGGAAAGGAGAGACACCTACTAGACTGCAGGGTCCGCTCCCTGACCTCCGGGGTGTAGGCCCCCAGGCCCAGAGCCGAGCGGGCAGCCAGCCGGAAGACATACTCAGTGTTGGGCTTCAGACCTTCCACTGTGAACGAGGTCGTCGGGTCAAAGGTCTTCAACACCTGGAGGTGGGCGGGGATGGGGGGGTTTGAGGGAAGGGGAGGGAAGAAAAAATAAAAACTCGGAGCAGAGACATGAACACCCCCCAAAAAACCCGCCCTACTTCCCACACCCCCAGCTAAGGGAGGGTCCCCGCCATTCTCCAGGGGAAAGGGGCAGAACCATCATCCCCCACGCCTCCCTCATGGCACTCACCTCCCTGCCGCGATCTCCTTCCCTGTAGCCGAGTTCGTACTTCACAATGATCTCCTGCCGGGGAGGGCTCCACGACACTCTGATGCTGGTCTCCGTCCTGGCTTCCGCTTGGAAGTTCATCGGCTGCCCAGGAACTAAAATTGACCGAGGAGGAATCCACGAGGTGGGGTTGGACAGCCAGCGCAGAAGAGGAGAGAGAGAGACGGGCCCAAGATTACTGGGCTATTTAGAAGACTATTTCCGCCCCCCCCCCCCCACATGGCTTATCCATAAGTAGCATATGGGTGCGTGATCCTGACTCTCACCGTGCCTGCAGGAAGGCAGGGGTTTTTCTTTACAGGAGCCCAGTGTCTGTCACCCTGCAGGGCCAGGACAGTAAACCATCTACAGTTGCTGGAGACAAGACAGTCCTGGATCATGGTGTCCATCGTCCCACACAGTGCAGGACACAGTCCCCTACCCTTGAGAGACGTTCTCAGCCTCTCCATGGCTTGGACAGTTCCGGGAACCGTAACGTAGAGAGAGCAGACGTCCCAGGCCTGCAGCCAGAATGGGGCTCCTGATTACCAGGGAAGGAAGGGGTATGCATTTCTGACAGAGAAGGGCACTCGGAGGAACTCAGAAGCGAGGTCAAATCCTCTGTTCATTCACAGAGCATTCTGGGTAAAGACATGCAGACGAGTACAGCCAGCATATCCCACTTGGCTTCTAAAACCCTCTCATGTGCCTGCCACAACAGGTAGCACTAGATACAGACAGAATACGGCTCTGCCTTCCTACAGTACCTTTGATCAGAGGCTCTCAGCATCCTTTAGAGACACCACACCTTGGGAGATGGGGGTATTAGTCAACCTACTTTAGAGGTGGGGAAACTGAGGCACTGTTTTACCATGATGTGCTCAATGTCACACAGAGAGGCAAGGATAGAGCAGAGGACTCCTGTCTCCTAGCTGCCCGCTGTAACCACTAGACCACACACCCCCAGACAAGAGCTAGGAACAAAACCCAGGAGTCCTGACTCCCAGGGTCCTCTGCTCCAGCTGCTGGACAGTTCTTCCTCCCCAAATAGCTATTTCTATTTAAGCCGAAGACACTTAAGCAGATGACACTAAGCTGGAGGGAGAGGTAGATAAGCTGGGGGGTCAGGATAGGGTCCAGAGTGACCTAAACCAATTGGAGGATTGGGTCAAAAGAAATCTGATGAGGTTCAACAAGGACAAGTGCAGAGTCCTGCACTTAGGACGGAAGAATCCCATGCACCGCTACAGGCTGGGGACTGACTGGCTAAGTGGCAGTTCTGCAGAAAAGGACCTGGGGATTACAGTGGACGAGAAGCTGGATATGAGTCAGCAGTGTGCCCTTGTTGCCAAGAAGGCTAATGGCATATTGGGCTGCATTAGTAGGGGCATTGCCAGCAGATTGAGGGAAGTGATTATTCCCCTCTATTCAGCATGGGTGAGGCCAAACCTGGAGTATTGCATCCAGTTTTGGGCCCCCCCACTACAGAAAGGATGTGGAAAAATTGGAGAAAGTCCAGCGGAGGGCAATGAATATGATTAGGGGGCTGGGGCACATGACTTATGAGGAGAGACTGAAGTAACTGGGCTTATTTAGTCTGCAGAAGAGAAGAGTGAGGGGGGATTTGATAGCAGCCTTCAACTACCTGAAGGGGGGTTCCAAAGAGGATGGAGCTCGGCTGTTCTAAGAGGTGGTAGATGACAGAACAAGGAGCAATGGTCTCAAGTTGCAGTGGGGGAGGTCTAGGTTGGATATTAGGAAAAACTATTTCACTAGGAGGGCGGTGAAGCACTGGAATGGGTTCCCTAGGGAGGTGGTGGAATCTCCATCCTTAGAGGTTTTTAAGACCCGGCTTGACAAAGCCCTGGCTGGGATGATTTAGTTGGGGACTGGTCCTGCTTTGAGCAGGGGGTTGGACTAGATGACCTCCTGAGGTCCCTTCCAACCCTGACCTTCTATGATTCTATAAAGATGATCAGTAAAGAGGAGGTGCTCTGGAGAGAGCCCTGGGCCAGTGTTATCATTGCGCTGTGAGCCAGCTAACCGTCTCTCCCTACAGAAGCCGCCTGCGGCAGCTCAGTCTGTCCGTGTCCACGTGGGCCCAGAACTCACCTCCTTGCTGTGTTTTGACCTGGATGGGGTCAGAGAGAGGCCCATCTCCCACGGAAGTGAAGGCCAGGACCCGGACGGTGTAGGTTTCATCCTCCAAGAGGCTGCCCACTGTGGTCAGGAGGCTGTCGTCTACATTGTGTTTCTGCCAGTTGCTCACCGGCTGGTCCGGCTCCATGGTGTAATACACCCTGTAGCCGCGGATCTGCCCGTTGGGCTCCACCGGTTCCTCCCACTGGATGATCATGGTGGTGCCGCTCAGCATCCGCCCCTGGACGCTGCGAGGAGCACTAGCTGGCGCCTGCTCCCCGGTGCGGGTCACCACGGACTCGCTGGGAGGCCCCTGCCCGATGGTGTTGACGGCAGACACCCAGATCTCATACTCCGAGTTGGGGCTGAGTCCTCCGATGCTGTAACGCGTGGTAGTGATGTCCTCTTTGATCTGGTAAGGGCCATCCTGACTCTTGGACTTGTACTCGATGACGTAGTAAGACACAGGGTCAGGGTTCCCCGAGTCCCAGGTGATGGTGATGCTGGTTGCCGTGGTTTCTGTTACCACGGGCGTCCCGGGAGCCTTGGGCAGCGCTGAGGATGGGGAAGAATAAACACTTTAGAACCGTCTGTTAAAACGGTGTCTAATTGGCAAGTTAGGGCTCTGAGAACTGGCAGCGCGGTACAGATCACAGCGCGGCTGTTCAGTAAAATGCTGCTGAAATATTATGAACCTAGTTACGCTCTTTATTACCCTTCTTAAACTGCTCCGTCAAAAGGAAGCATTCAACAAAACATCTGGAATCGTTAACACAGACTTCAACTGAACATCCCAATGTGCTGAGGAAAGCTGGTTTCACACCCAACTCCTTTAGAATATGGAAAAATATCTCCTTAAATATCACTAGCTGTCCCTAGCCCTGGGCATCTCTGGCTCTCTCTGTGCCTACAGTATGCAGTTACTGGACAGCTTTCTCTAGAACTACGCAGTTCTCCTTGGTCTAGAAAGCTACAAATGAATAAGTTTGCTTTGGTTCCCCACCCCCATGCCCCTCCAAATGTGCTCTCTAGACCCACCTTCTCCCCCGAGTCTGCACTCTAGATCTGGGCTCCCCCTAAGCACATACTCAAGAACTCCCAAGTACATGCTCTGCACCTGGGGTTTACCCAAACGCATGATCTAGACCAGGAAAAAGAAAAACAGAAAAGCAAAGGAGTGTTTCAATCCAGCCCCGGGCATCCTTTTGCCAGCATCGCAACCTGCTCCCTGCGCAAACAACTCCGGTGGAGTTTTGTGCAATGATTCCAAGGGGTCCCTGTTCCCCGCTGTTGCCAGAGCTCCCTTTCCCACATGCTCTGACCAAGGGGGATCTAGCTTCCATTTACTCCCCTCTCTCATGTCCTTATGAAGGCATCCCTTTCCCTTCTCCCCAAATTCCCTTATAGACAGGGTCAGTGCTCAGAGCAGACATCAACTCTGCACTTCTCCCAGCCAAGGGGATCTGCTGCTCATGCTCCTCAGCTGAGGAGGGAAGTCTTCAAGCCATACATCTGTGCTCCTCTTGGGAATCACAAGTTTCAAGCTGGGTTTCCCACGTGGTGAGGCAACAGGGAAGGCTTCCGTAAGACACCAAGATGAGGCTGTGGTGCAAGGAACTGCATGCCAGAGATGGGCAGGTTCTGAACCCTCAAACAAGAGTGGGAGGCAAGCCCCAGTCCCCGACCGCTCAAGGCTCCCCACACATAGGCCAGCCTTGTGACCCAGGATGAAAACAAACATACAGGTTTGAATCTCGGTTCCCCTGATAAATAACAGCTGCTAAAGCCAGGAAAGGCCCCAAGCCAGTGATGGAAGCTGGTGGCTTCCAATCAGTTGGGGATTTTTTTGTACCACGGACACAATGAGAACTCACGCACTAGCATGCCATCCTCATGTGCACACTCAAAAACATCTGCACACACATACATGCACACCAATGCCTTTGCAAGCTCATGCACGCACACGTGTATTTGTCCATACTCGTGTGCACTTACACCCACATGATCGCATGTAGTCATGTACCCATATGCTCACACAACCATGCTCATCCCTGATCTCGCACACACACGACCATGTGCCTACATGCATGAGCATGACCCCATACGTTCACGTGCTCATACAACTACATGCTCGCATGCATCTGCACACTTCCACACACAGCCACACGATCACAAGCATGACCACGAACCCACATGCTCATCTGCATGATCCTGCAACCACACACTCATTCGTGCATGCTCACCCGCATGGTTGCTCACGCTCGCATAGATGTGCATGCTCATACACATGGCCATGCACCTGCATGGTCGCTCACACGTGTGCACGCTCACATGCATGGTCACGCCCCCGCATGCTCATTCTCTTACATTTCACTGTGATCTGAGCCACAGCCTCTATCACCCCCAGGCTAGACATGGCCACGCAGGTGTAGTTGGCCGAGTCCTTGACGTCAGTGAGCTCCAAGACGTTGCGGCCCACCGGCATGTCATCCTCAGGCGTCAGGTCTTCTGCCCCCTGCATCCACTTGACATACGGCATGGGCGAACCCACTGCCACGCAGGTGATGTTGACGTTACCCCCGGGCATGATCTCATGGCTGACGGGCAGGATGGAGAAGCGAGGTGCCACCCGGCGAACTGCGGACGAGACGCACAGAGGTGACACAAAAAAAAAAAAAAAAAAAAGAAAAAAGAAAGAAAAGGGGAGAAAGAAAAAAAGAGCAGAAGATAATTTAAATATAAACGGGGCTCATCTTTTTTTTTCCTTTATTTAAAAAAATAAAATAAAATAAAATTCAAAAAACCAAAACCAAAAAAATTAAACTTCAAATAAATTTTACTTCACAAACAAGATATAGAATATAGACATAAAGCGATATTTCATAGCAACAGGGTTCCATTGATCAAGATTAGACCCATCACAGCACAGATAAATACACAAAAATTTATTAGCAATTTCTCATCTTTACTTGACAAGTGCCGGCATTGCACGCGTCGAACAATCTCCTCCACAGCCGCTCGGGCCCCAGCTTCCCACCCCGCTCCCCCAGAGCCCCTGCCACCTCCCCTTTGATAATGGGATCTAATTCGCCTGCTCCACCTCCTTCTCCCATGGAAAACTGGAACAAGCCCACCGCCATGTTGTGAACTGGTCCTCTCCAGAGTAGCAGATTCATGCCCCGTGGAAAGGACCAATCTCACACCAGCGAGCTCTCATTTCTGGCCAGTGTCAAGGGGAATGGAGGAAGAGGGGGAGGAGCTCGGGTGGGGAGAGGGTGAGGAAGGCTTCCTCTCAGGGCTCTGCTCTTGTTGGAAAGGCCTTCAGCTTGTTGAGACCCTGAGAGGGGGGGAGAATCCAAGGAGAAATCAAGTAGGAGAAAGAGGTCTCCTGCCCCAAAGTCCAGAGAAGCCACCTGAGAGGTAAAAAGACAGGGGGAACTCCCAGAGCAGGCTAGAATTTAGGGTGTGTTTGTGTGTGTGAGAGAACCGTCCAGGAGGAAGGAGCCCCCCCCGCACCTGGAACGTGAGAAAGTGGGAAAGATGAGAAACTCTAATGAAATTTTTGTGGTTTTCGGGTATAGAAACCCTAACGAAGCCTCTTTAAGATCTGACACGGTTCCATCGATAGATGCAGCTCTCAGAGTCACAAACATCATGCAAAATAGGTTAAAAAAAAAGAGAGAGACAGAGACAGAGAGAGAAGAAAATGCAGAGGAGTATAACTTATGGGCCACTAGCAAATGCCCACATGGATACTGAAGAAAGAAAGAGACAGAAAGAGAGAAGGAAGAAGAGGAGAGTGGAGAGAGAGAGAGAGAGAGAGACGGGGAAGGGGAGGGGGAAACCGACTTTAATGCTGCATACTTTTTCTAGCTGATGTGACCCAATGTGGTGGCTCACATTGTCACATCTCAGCCCTGGCAGAATAATAAATAGAATAGAATTAATAATAATAAGAAAAACAAGGTAATGAAACTTTAACGTTGAGAAAACAGTGACATGTTCTGTGCATCTCCTTAGCAGAGAAGTGGATGCAGCTTCCAGACCTTACACAGGAAGAACATGGACGCAAAGGAGAGGGCGCGGTTTCCGTGGCTCCATTTTCTGAAGTGACTGGGACGGATGGACGGAGGGACCCGCTGAGTGGTTTCCTCACACGTCAAAGCAGGAGAAGGGGACCAGAGAGAAGTTTAGTCATTAAAACCCAACCCAGAGACTAACTCTGCACCCGGCTGCCCAAGGGGCATGGAAACCTTCCCTGCCCAAGGGCTGTCCCTAGGGGAGTAGGATCCCCCCATCTGTCTCTGGATGACCCCCCTACTATTTATTCCATTGAGTCTGTGTACGATGGGGGCAGTGGGGTAACACCCCCCAGAGTCCAAGAGGAAGAGAGGGATCATGGGCAGACAGCAGGTGACCTAGAAAGATGTAGTCCCTGTGGGGAGAGAGCTGAACGGGGAAACATCCCATCCCAGGAGTGAGGGCAAAGGGACAAAGGTTGTGGAGGCTGCAGGTATAATCGTAGCAACAGGGGAAAGATCCATGTGAGGATGGGCCCCTGCAGGCTTCAGAGATACCCGTATAATTCCTGCATGTACTCAGCCAATAAGGACACCAGTGGTTGTGATGAGCCCCGATTCTCCTCACTCCTACACCACGGTAAATCCAGAGCAACTCCACTAAAGTCATTGGGAGCTGCACCCATACAAAACTGGTGCCAAGGAGAATCAGGCCCAGCAGCTCTCCCCACTGGGTCATGGTGGCTTCAGATCTCCTTAGACCTGGTGTTCTGGATCAGCCTCTAGCTTACGGCACCAACCCAGCTTCAGGTTGCTCCTTAACCCATGGTTCTCAAATAGTGGCCTGCAGTATTCTGGGAATGAAGACGGGGGAGGAGGGGTGGGGCAGTGCACTGCAGGGAGAGGAGACAGCCCCTGAGAGGGGGTTCTCTCCCACAGAGTGGAACAGTTGGAGAAACAAGGCCTGACCCTGCTGTGGGGGACGGATGGAGTTTTAATTAGCAGCAGGTGAAATTTTACAGCTGAAACTCCGCCCCCCCGCAAAAAATAAATCCCTATAAAAGTTCAGTTGCTTAACATTTTGGGTTCAAAATGTCTTTTGGTTCTGATATTTCCTTCCATTTTATTTTAAAAAAAATTAAAAAAACATATTAAAAAATGCTCCTCATCGACACAAAACATCCAACTACTGCTCCCACAAAATGTTTTGTTCGATTCAAAACAATTCTCCCCTCCCTCCCCTCCTCCCATTTTTAGGAACTGCCAGTGAACTGAAACCTCCATTATTCAAGTTTTAACGCCCAGCCTGCAGAGGGGCTGGCAATGCCGTACTCTCCGGCACGGGAGCTGGGGGCACCTGGTCACAGCCCTCTCCATATCTGCCTTAGCTTCACCCATCCAGCCCCTGCTGCCTGCCCATCTAACCCCTGCTCCTGATCATCTTCTTTGCCTGGAGAAAGGAGAAGCATTTGAGCCGCTTGGCAGCTGCGTGAGCCGCTCACAAGGTGTCACAGCCCAGATCATTTGGAGGGGAAGAACCACAGAGCGTTGTTATAATAGCACCAACCAGGTTCTCTGGAAGGGGCACCTCCACCGGAGGCCTATCAGTCGACTAATGACAGTATCCCTCTCCCTGCTACCCACAGGCTGGAAGCTCGATGGAAAAATTAGCCTCTGCCTTCTCCCCCAGATGTCTCCATCTCAAGGGGAGCGCTCCCCACTTGGCTACCAGACCCGCTTCTGTGCAGTCAGCCAGAGAGGGCAGCAGCACCCATGGGGCAGGGCGTGGGGGGAAGACGAGGCGAGTCAAGGATTTCAGGCAATGAAGAGCCTGGAGACTCAGCAGCAGGGAGATCCCAAGGGACAGGGGCATGAAAGCATCCCCACCTTGACCTGAGCTGGGGAGAGGAACAGGGCTGGGAGGATGTATAGCCTCACATAGAGGCTGCCATTGGCTTGGGAAAGGAAGATGTCTGAGTTGGGGGATGTAACCACACTTACATCCTGGTCCTGGCTGGGGAGGGTTTGGCAGGACCTACTGGTTCAGGAGAGTGGGGAGGCATCTCCTCCCCTGGGGCCTGGCTGAGGAGAAGCGCCTAGACATCAGCAATGGCTGAGTGACAGGGTTTAAACACACTTGGCCATTGGCACTGGCTGGGGCAAATGGGCAGGAGGCCCCCCACGCAGGGAAGGTCTTAGCCCTAGCAAGAAGGGCTGGAGGTGTCCCAGCTGCTGCTCCCATCCTTCCTTCCACTGGGATCCAGTCTGACTGGGTCGCTCGGCCTTGGCAAGAGCAGAGAGTCCTGGCTGCTTCCCTGGAGCTGGTGGCATTTCAGAAAATGGAGCCACACGAAGACTGCGCCAGTCACATCTGAGACAAGATGGAGAGTACTTAAAAAAGAAACAAGTGGGGGTCACATGCAGACAGATCGGGGAGGTGGGGGTGGGAATGAATCTTCCAAAGAGGGGCTGATATGTCACTTCCTGGGGGAGATGGGGTCGGGGAGGTTGAGGAGAAATGGGGAGACACACACTGACGGACAAGATCCAGTCAGCAAACAGCATTGACAGCAACAAACAACGGCGGGTGGGATGCAAACACCGAGTTGTCATGGAAACAGAACAAGACAGTTAAATTCAAACTGAGGTTAATTTAAAAAAAAAAAAGAAAGAAAAAAAGAAAGGAAGAAGAAATCAGAATTTCGGAACTGAAAAGCATCGTTCAATGGGGGCGGAGTGCTGAGAATCGGAGTCTGAAGGGAACAAACCAGCGTTGCCTGTGCGTGTCTGGTGGGGGTGGAGGATGGGGGACGGGGGCCACTCACAAAACACAAGCTGAGGGCTGCCCAGCCGATGTGCCGATTTGCAACACCCCACACTGACGCTGAGGCGCTCCGTTTTTCAGGCCCTCAGTGCAGCATTACCTCTCGGCTGCTTTAATGGCAGTTAGCACATATACCAAGTGGGAAGCAAACGGCAGGTCTTGATGCCAGACCGAGATCCCGGGAAGGGTGAGAATTTGGAATATGGTTGGCCACACAGCAATGCAAGGACAGAAAGCGTTGGTAAGGTGCAGCATCTCTGTGGGCAGTATCCTGGTTTAAAGAAGCTTCACACACACACACACACACACCACACACCACACACCACACACCACACACCACACACCACACACCACACACCACACACCACACACACCACACACACACACACACACACCTGCATTAGTGCAGGAGACATACAGAGAGCACACGAATGCAGGCAAGGCAGGGCTCAGGGCAGTGACAACAGCACTCACTGTAACAGGAAACACCCAGAGGGTCCTTCGCTGGAGGTCCAGTAGGGGCTGGGTAGCAAGTGAGCCAGACTAAACGCCATCACTGCTGCTATTTATTTTAATAACTGTACCGCTCCTATTTGACTGTTGATATGAGATTTCACAAGCTGAGATGCTCTGGGTCAGTGTCTTGGTCAGAGGCTTGGGGCAAGGAGGTTTAAGCAGCTGTTAGAAACTGAGCAGAGAGCTCTGGCTGCTCACACCCAGGCTGGGTTTCATAAGCAGCAGCCGGACAAGCAAAATCAAATGCAAAATGCAACCAGGGGAGCCCCTGACGCTGT